CTTGCTGAACGCTCAGCCGTCCTCACCTGGTAACTGCGTTCATACTACTGAACATGGTCGACCGAAAAGCAAGTATTGCGCATATTTGGGGCTCAACGTTAATACTTAAGTATCAGATGGTGTGTTCCTTTACTAGAAAACAGACATTTAATTCTAATGACCCTAGTGTTTCTTCGTTGAGTTCAAAATTCGAAGCAATGCCCAAGAGAAGCCCGACAGAAGACTAGCATTTTTCGACGGTATTTGCAATGATGCACACGTTACGCGGCAAATTTTTTTTGTTGGGGTCTTTAGGGGCGAAGCTCATTGTGTGATTTCCTCCTCCGTTTGTATGTAATGTGTATGTAGCCACCTCTAGTTTATGAATTGTCCACTAGATGGCGTTAGAGGTTTTTGTAAATTTGAGGAATAAAGAGGATAGATGGCGCTGTTATAATAAAAAATTCACAGCATATCCACGGAGTGAATGGTGGTGAATGGGGTAAAGCGTCCGTTTGTCCATCCACTGCGTGCTCTAGTGTGTTAGCAGTGGATGGACGGACGGACGGACAGACAGACAGACACACTGACGCTTCACCCCACTCATCACCGTCCGATCCGTGAATATGCTGTGATTTTTTGTGAACATTCACACTGTAACGTTGAATGAGCGTAAACTACGCATGCACATGTGTTTAATAAAGATGTGCAAATGCATAAATCTACACGTGCAACTTCGTAGTAAAAGAGTATCCACCGCCACATCAGCATGCCGACGAGAGCCTTCCCAGCTAGCAAATGTAAGTTATGCCATATTTGGAATTGTCACCTTATTGAGGGCGTTAGCGTCTGCCTCCTGTACTCCTCGAACGCAAGGCACGCGAATTCTGTCAAATAGATTTTTTTTTAACTTTGAACGGTGTGTTGACATTGACCTTTCGGAATAAGCAGCAAAAGCAGCTTGTTTCACCGGCAGCAGCCGACAGGCGCATCCTTGCAGAGCACGAAGTGCATGCCAACCTTACGCAACGCAACAAGTTGACGTTCCCGCCAAAACGGCATTTAAACTTTACGTAAGAAGGAATTCGTCGCTGACAGCAGCTGACAAACCCCTGCTATAGACAAGCGTCACACGCTTCCTGCCGGAAAGAAGGCAGCGAGTGCTTGTCCTATACGTGCTAGAAAGGGCCATGTCTGAAGTCAGCGTCCGTGCATGCTCTGCGTTCGCGAACGCTGACATCACTTTCGTGTGATGCCAGTCACTTCGGGAAGTGACAATGCGACAGTTTCGAACATGGCGAAAAGAAGCGCAGCTTGTTCCGGAATCCATATAGCTGCTCGGCAATAATGGACGTGAGCTTGTGCAATCACAGGACATTGTGAACGTTCCTCAAAAGAACGGTGTCTGTGACAACGGGTCAGCGCTCAAAACTGGGTTTGAAGCGCCCTTCCTTTGTGCTATGCTGTCACCGTCACTTGGGTGGTGATCGAAGAACGCAACACGTGCGCGCACGAACACAGTGACGTATGCTGGACATGGTCGCGCTTGACACACCTCCGCATTGTGACGCTAAGCGATAGCTTTCACGCTATAGCAAGGTGCACAGGTAAGACTTGCCTAGTTAGCTTACACTTGTGTTGTACTGAAGTTTTGTACTACGCAAAAACAATTATTCGCCATGATGTCGCGATAACATTGTGAAGACCTACAAGTAATAAGTATTCAGACTAGCCTTTAGAACTTGAAATTGTTGAATAACATTGTATCTATAGATTGTTCAAGATCAGACTGATAGATGCAACTAAATAATAAACACAGGCACACAAACGAGTATTGTACCATTTTCGTTGCAAACAGGCCCTACATGTTTGATTTGTAACAGTTATGAGGCTATTGAGTCGCGCTGGTTGGACTTCACCTGAGCAATCGGCGCTGAGCAATTGGCGCTGAAGTACGATTACTTTAGGCTCGAGAACAATAAGATCGGTCAAGTAGGACACTGAATATGCGCAGAAAGACCTTCGTGTGCTATAGCGTACACGCATGCGTTAATTTGTTTGGCTTTGCGTTTATGGCCGACCGTTATCATGGGAGAATTGCCTCTTATAGTTTGACTCCTGTGACATAACTGCAGTCTAGCGGCTTTTCTTTGGCTTTGCGTTACTCTTAATGGCGCATGTCCACGAGAAGAGATCGGAGACGAAATGAAAACGCCCAAGTATGCCACGCGTCAGATTATATAAACCTCTGTATGTATACTTGCCACCGACAACCGCGTTATCTTGACGCCTCTTCACGTTATCGTCATCGCGATGGCGCGCACTCGTTTTGTTACGCAACAACCAGCAACAATATCTCGAATGGCTACTTAGTTACCTCAAATGCGCAGCAGGCAATGTCCAGGCGGTGTGAATGCATTTTAAAGCAAGCCGGCATAACCCAGGCACAGAGGTGGATATCGCGTAAGAAGCTGATGTCACGGTTGCGTGTGACTGCAACACTAAATATGCAGAGCTGATGTCACGGTTGCGTGTAACTGCAACACTAAATATGCAGAGCTGATGTCACGGTTGCGTGTAACTGCAACACCGAATATATATATAAAAATAATATGTGATAGCATGTAATATGCAGAGGGACTAATGAACAAATCAAATTGCCGAGACCCGACGCCCCATCACTTTCGATAACGTCGATGTTTGTTCAACAGGTCACGCCGGCCCAGTCGGTAGATTAAAACGAAGGAATCACACGTGTGAGAAAGCCGCGCATCGGCGGTGCGCCCGAACTGAAAGGCGAGAACGGCTCGCCTCTGGAAGCACGTACCGACTCGACGCATTGTCATTCGAGTAACGCTAAGCGTTCGTGGCAAAGTACAACGAAAGCACGCGGACGGGAAACCCGTCGATGCTGTAAACAAAAATCACTTGCGAGGCCCGAAGACGTTGAAGCGAGTGAAAGATAAAGCGATGAGTAAAAACACCGGTGAACAGAAAGCTCGTGCAAATGCCGACACAAGTTGACGAAAGGTGGGCTTGTCTATAGAGCGCTCACATACAGAAAAACGTACAAGTGCAGAACACGCTGACGCGCATTGTGACTTCAGGACGCGTCAGGAGTCGTCCTGGTGTACCGTTGAAAGGAAATTTCCTATTTAGTTGCGTCGTTAATCACCTCCAGTTCTCGCGAGACACTGCCTTATCAGCATCGATTGTTCACAACAGAACATTAGCTTTCTTTTTTTCAGCCCTTTTGCATTAGGTTTGCTTTGTCGCGAGTCACTGGACGATGGAGTCATTTTTTCTCTTCAAAAGCATACGGTAACGGTGGTTGAACGAATGATGGAATTACCGTTTTGTTACGTCTTTCAAACTATGAGGGGGACTTGGAAATGCGAGCCGGTACGGCACAACCTGCGCACTTCAGAAGACATCCATCAGAGCACGCATCTTCAAGTGTTCCCTGTTTGAACACCCCCCCCCCCCTTTCCGCACACAATGCTCTGGTGCACAATCTACACGCCGACATTCTTCGACGGAGAGCGGAGCAATCGCTCACAGCTGGTTCATCGTCACTCCACTCCGAACGTCACATGTGCACGCTGGGTACACAATTTATCTCTAAGAAACTTCGCTAAGTAAACACTAAAACATACACGCGCATAGTATACGCGTATGCCATTTACGAGCACATCAAAGCTAGCCAGAATGAATCGGTCATATCCGATAACATTCGGCTCTTTACAAACATGACGCGCTAGTGATTCAGAGATGCCCCTAGAAACTGTCAGCTCGGCTAGGTACACACTCGAAGCCCGAACTTATCTCTGAGTGACGTGACTTGCTGAGCGACGTTGGTCGCAAGTTGCCTAATTCGAAGTCACTCCAGCTTCAGCTTAGCGCCGGCTGCGTGGCTATTCACGCCAGTATTCATTGCAGTCGTTAAACGTGCCAAAACCACGGTACGATCATGAGGGACGGTGGGCTCAGCAAATTTCGACCTCCCGGAGTTCTTTCACGTGCACCTAAATCAAAGTGCACTGGGCATTGTCGGTTCCATCAAAATGCGGCCGCCGCAGCCGGGATTCGATGTTCAGCAGTCGAGAACAATAACCGCTAGACCACCGCACCGGGTGTGGTTATTCGGGCCATTCTCGTCAACGCCCTTAGTGAAATCCGTGCCTATAAGTTAGCCGGAAGTTATCAAGACTTGGCAACACGCAACATTCACAAGGAAGCTCATAGAATCCGCTCGAAGTCTAACTTGGTTGTTTTGTTATATTTGTTAATGATGTACGGTAACAATACACGCAAGATAATGAACAAACCCCGACAGTCCCCGGCATCAGAACTTCCACTTTTGTGTTACCTGTTTTGAGGCGATTCGTTGTGGCCCATAAGGTTGCCAATAAACAAGAAACTCGCGCGGTATATCTTCTTTCCGGCAATCGAAGGCAAAATTTTTCCACTCAGACTCGGCTCATGTACTAAAGGTATTATTCTGTTCCCTTACAGACCCTGCTAGTGCTTCCGGCCGTCTTTGTAACACTAACAAAATACATGCCAGCGGGAATAAAAAAAAGGAACAACCAACCCCACGAAAGAGCAAGGACAATCCCCCCATTTGTCTGTACAAAGTTTGAACGACTAGACAATAGCTAGCTTGGCTACCCAAGGTAAAGGCGTAGACGTAAAAATATTAGACTGAGTTAGACACCTTACCTCACCGAGGCAAGAGCGGCACCACGTGCACTGTTTTGCATCATTGTGTATGTATGTGCTATATCCGGTGCAGATGAAGCACTAACAATTACGTGGGCTGCTAATTAGGCAAAAGTAGATTCAAGAGTCCGTTCTGTGGCGCGTTTCATCGTTGCCTTTGATGCAGTTGTCGTTCTGACGGTAGTGACACTTACTTCTAAGACGAATTCCTACTGCTCCACTCACAGTCATCCTTGGGGTTTCATTCAGATTTTGTAGAAATCATTTGCCATACCTTTTTTCAATCGAATATCACTTACCTGCGTGAGTCCCGCGATGGATCCGCGTACCGCTGTAGTGGAGCTCGTCGAGCGTGGGCCGACTGACGTGTCCGTGCACCGACATGATGTTGCGGTAGTGGTCGACGCGCGGCAGCGCCTCGTGCGTGTAGTGAAGCAGGCTCTTGACGTTCACCGTGTCGTACACGGTGCCGTAGTTCGTGAGCTCGGTGGGTGAGGCCGACGCGCTGGTAACCAGGCACTGCGGCGGAGCGCCTCCCATGGACGCGGCCGTGGGAGTCTCCGGCACGTCATCGTCGTCGTCGTCAGGCGCCATCGCCTCGTTCACGTAGTCCACCTTAGCCACTTGGAAGCGCGACTTCTCCGTCGACATCGCGTCTGCAGAGTCCGGCGCGCACTGGCGAAACACCGAGCGCGAGTTGAGAGAAAAAGTTAAGTGGTATCACTTCTTCTTTCGGCGAAACCGCCCGCCCGACTAGAAAGCGTGCGCGGCCTCTTCGTCGCGCTCGACGAACGACTGCGCCGTTTACGCGGCGGTTCGAACCCGCGGACTCGCGTCGGGCGCGACTTTATAAGCGCGCAGCCGAGGGAAGCGAAAGAGCAGCGCGAACGGCGCGAAATGCCCCGTCTCCCGCTGCATCTCTCTCTCTCGCGCGCTTGGGCAACTCCCTCTCCCGCCGCTCTGGTCGGCTGCTCGCAGCGCCAGAAGCACGCCAACCGCGCATTGTCTCTCCCCTTCGTCGCCTGCCAATCTTTGCTCTCTCTGTCATCTTTCCATCTATCTCCCTCAGCGGCGAATTCGTTGCCATTTTTTTTTTTTTCACTGGCAGCGTTTAAAGATCCTGCCATCCAACACGTCACTGACGTGCGCCCTCGTAAAGTGCGAACTCTTGGTGAACCGACTTTCGCACACGTGCGAAAGGAAGGAAGTTGCTGAAAAATTGCGCAAACTGGAATGTGAAATGACGATAGGGTGAATGAGCATGAATGCCAACATTGGAGAAAAGAATGTATTGTAAGTCTAGCGGCGTACGTGTGGCGCTGTGGCCGATCTTTCACAGGCAGCTGATAAGATACCCTGGATGACAAGACATTCTTTGTATATTAGCATGACTACTTTGCGCGCCACCTAGCAACTTGCTCCGGTACTTAGGCGTGAATGGCGGTGGTGTCGTGACGAGATGTTATATCGTTAATTCGTGATTTTTTTTCGTTCGTTTTTTAAACATCTTTTCGATATGTGTGGCCTTCCGGAATGAAGAAAGAGTTGAAAGTGAACGCTTCATAAATCTTTATTTGTAGCTCTTACGATATTACCTGAGATATTAAGTGCGAAAACGACGACGTAATTACGAGGTACACCACAGCTGCGAAATCCGCAATATTTCGACTATCTGGTGTTTATTAACGTCCACTGACACCGAACAGTACAACAAGTGCCTCTACCGTTTCATCTCCATCGAAATGTGACAGCCGCAGTTGGTAAATGAACCCTTAACCATCGGCTCAACACCCGGACACCAAAATCACTGGGCATCCGATCATTCAAGCCGGACAAATGACATTACAAACGAGTCATCAGTGTACCTCATTATCCGCTGTATGACGCACCACTCTTTCCCAAGAGTTAAGGAATCGGGGAATCGCATAGCGGCGCGAAATTCCGCAGTTGTGCTTGTTTGTTCTAGTCCTGCGGTTGGGCCCCGGCTGTTTAGAGGTTGTGCCGAAGCATGAACACAACGGGCCATTTTAATCTGACTTCGATTTTGACGCAATGATTCAATAGGTGCCAAACTTTCGTCCAGAAGTTGAAGTTTCACGTACGCTCGTTATTTTGGAACAAGTGCAGACGTACGATAAGATCTTCATATGACAAAACATGGGCAGGTCTGGCTGATTCTCATTGACCAGCGATGGCTGGACCATAGTTGAGCGAGATTGATTGATTGATATGTGGGGTTTAACGTCCCAAAACCACCATTTGATTATGAGATACACCGTAGTGGAGGGCTCCGGAAATTTCGACCACCTGGGGTTCTTTAACGTGCACCCAAGTCTGAGCACACGGGCCTACAACATTTCCACCTCCATCGGAAATGCAGCCGCCGCAGCCGGGATTTGAACCCGCGACCTGCGGGTCAGCAGCCGAGTACCTTAGCCACTAGACCACCGCGGCGGGAAAATAGTTGAGCGAGGTACATTGGCGTATTGTAATAGGGTCAAATGTATTAGAAATATTTCTTTTCGTATTTTGGCCCGAAGGTTGTGTTTTCAATAAAGGCGAAAAAATGGGGGCCCACATATTGCGCGATGCCAGTGCACGATGAAGAGCATCAGATGATCGAAATTTTCAAGCAGAGCCCTCCGCTATACAGCGTGCCTCGCAATCAAATCGCGGTTTTGGCACGTGAGATTCCCCAAAATTATGTTATCGTTCTATACTTTGCTTTCGCGCGTGTACTTTCCACGGGACCAATTATATAACTCGTCTTGTCGTAGCAAGATAACACTCAAAAAACCTCTCGGAGACCTGGTGTACCAATCAATTTTTTTTTCTTCTCAAAGGCTGAGAAGTGCGAAAGCACATTACATGCGCGAGCCCAACGAACAAAGCTACGTTCATGCTTACTCTGCACATGAGGTACTCGACCGGATGACGTCATCTTGTTCTCGCAGGAACTGAGTGTAGTGACCAAAGATTTTAGCGACGTTCTCCTGATGACGCGCACGCTAATTAATCTCTAATGAAAAGCAGGCGGAAGTCTTCTTCTTCGGCGCGAACGAAACAGGTGACGGAATATGACTTTGAAGCCAACGCTATAAGAGCATTGTACCCGAACGGGCGATGAAATTGAAAAGTCAAGTACATACGAAGTTTGCACGCTGCGGTCTCGGAGAACACGTGTCCTTCCTGCAGATTAGCAAATTTTCATCTAACGTCTTGAGCTGCTGACCCACACGTCGCCGGATTGAATTCCAGCCGTGGCGGCCACATTTTCGATGGAGGCGAAAATTGTCGAGGTCTGCGTATTTAGATCTAGGTGAACGTTGGAGAACACCAGGTTGTCTAAATTTTCGGAGCCCTTTACTAAGGCGTCCCTCATAATCAAGTCGTTGTTTTCGGACCTCAAAGCCTATCAATTATTATTATTCAGCATTTTTAGTGCACGGTTCACATTAGGTCATATAGGCGTCTCATTGGTCCCGGAGATATGTAGTGAACTCGCGCGAATTCTATACTTTCGATAACGTTAAGTAGCACAAGCGCTGTTTCGCGCTTTCTTTTTACTTTGTTTTTGTGATCGTATATTTAATTGAGAAATGCGGGAAAATACGCAATAGGCTGCGCATATTTATCTCGAATCGGACATCCGTTCTTTGTCAAGTGCTCGCTACCTGCAGCGTTACAAGACAGTGACGCAACGATCACGTAGGTACAACGTATAACTGCGACTTGATTGATTGATTGATTGATATGTGGGGTTTAACGTCCCAAAACCACCATTTGATTATGAGAGACGCCGTAGTGGAGGGCTCCGGTATAACGGCGACTTCCTTTGTGAGGTCGCTGGTGTGCATGCCAAGCGATGGTCTATAAGCAATTAATACACGGTCTGCGGACTGGGAAACATCATCTCTCTCGAGCATCTCAGCTGCCGCTGATTACGCGAAAAGCCAGTGTTTTTACGCTTGTATGTCGAGCGTACGTATACGTTGTATCGGGCCGTGACGCGCCGAGCTTCAAATCTCGAGAGCGATCCTCGATTAAGAATGGATAAAGTTGCACAGTGTTCTTCGTAGGCGACGATTGACGTGCGAGCCGTGTCAAGTGCGCCAGTAAGACAAAATGTGCGCCGATGTGCACGACGTCATACTTTATCTCAATCGCTTATCAGCGCACTACGTTGTCGCACTGTGTTACCGTTCGGAACGTGTTTCGAACGGTTAGTTGAGGTTTCGCGAGAACTATATGTCGTTCGCAGACTTTGCAGTAATGAACACGAGTGAAATGTCGTTTCGAAACGAATGTGGGCGCGATCGTCCTCATAACACTTCATTTGCCAGGATGCAATTTCTGAAGTCAGCCGTGGTTGTACAAGGTGGAAGAGGAAGGGTTTTTTTTTTTTTGGTAATATACATGCGCCACAGTTGTTGCTGCATGCGGCGTACAACTTGGCTCCATGGGCATGCCGACGGTTCTCAATTTGAAGGGGCGACTTTTCTGCCGCCCCCCCCCCCTTTTTTTTTGGTTGGGCGAGTCTAAAAAAAAACTTTTTCGCAAGGGACAAAAAAAGCAAAAAAAGAAAATTGAAGCAATGGCGTGCTTCTTTCAACGGTCTGTCTCTACTTCGCTGATTTCCGGCGGTAAAGACAAAATTGTTCTTTGTTTGCAACATCTCTATCCTCGTCTGCCACTGTAGTTAAAAATGTGCGCGCCCATAACCCTATGAACAATAAAATGAAAAAGGTACAAGGCGTAGAAACCTGTGATGATTTGAAAGAGTCCAGCCCCCTCCCCCCAGAAACCCTTGTGGGCACCCCTGTTGTTACCTAGACATATTATTAAACAAGGTCACGATGGTAATAAATGAACACAAACACAAGAGGCTGCATTCACGTCGTCTCACATATGTCTGTAAGATGCTTGGCAGTGTGCTGCTGCACAGTAACTTCTATCCGGAGATATATATATATATATATATATATATATATATATATATATATATATATATATATATATATATATATATATGTATATATATGATTTTTTATTATTTTTCGCAGCCCGTACGTCAACGCAAAGTTTAAATGTCACAATTATTCAGTGAAACGTCACAATTCAAGAACCACCACGACTCGGAAAGGTAAGTTGACCACGTCATCTTATTTATTGAAGCCCAGAGAAACACGTTTGGAACAATCGATCACTCACTAGGCAGAGCATGACATGTGGGTCAGACAAGTTGAGTTTTTCTTTTTTCTTTCTAAAAACGAGTGTGAACAGTGAAAAGGCGCGTTCAAACACGCTTCCTATCCAAAGGCACTTTTGTTTTGACACTGAGAGTTTTTCTACGTATTCTTAAAAAAAAAACAAGCACAGAAATACGCTCAATGGCAAAGAAGGCGCAAATATCATTGCGCTACTGGCCAACTTTAACATTGGCGAAGAAGAGAACGAGATATAAAAACACTGAGAAATACTATGTACAACTAAAATACTGCTTCGCGTAGTTGTCAAAAACATTTATCTTCCTATTTACATTGCAATACAAAAATAGTAGCGTTTCTATAGCGAGAGCGGGGACTGGACCGGCGTCTCCGAATGATGCGACTCTTGACAAATTAAACACACACTGCACAGTAACGAAGCGAAAAAAAAGAGAAAAAATGTCATGGGGTCATAATGTAGATAGCCGTTGCAATGGCTCAAAACCTCCAGACATCTGGGCCCCATCTCATTTGTAAAAGACCAACAGCTAGGAGATACTGGGCCCCTAGAAAAATCTGACAAAAGTAAATTACCACCAGCTGCAGCAGTTTGCTGTACCTCGTCTTCCACTTCAGGCTGATATGAAACCAGAACACTGCGAGGTCACGTGTGACGGTCACCGGCCTTAATTTTCTGAAACCTTCAACCAATAGGAAGCGAGAATTCAGCAAGTTCACGCGGGATAGTCACCGGCCAATGAAAACGCGAGATGCGGTCGACTCTTGACGCAATGATCTATTAATTGCTTCGAACTGAGGTTTTCACTGGGTGTGTTGGTTTTCGCACAGGTAACGCTACGTTCCAAACGTACGACTCATTGAATACGTAGTAACAAGCGGACTAAAAATTCTTTTTTTTTTCTGACGTCACCACAGTATAGTCTTCGTGTCTAGTAGATTAGAAGAAAGTGAACGATTCGAAAGGTTGTTGAGTTCGGTAAGCAAATATAAAGAAAAAGTTAGGCGAAAGTACTCGTCACACGTGCTTCGCGTTATCTTTCTCAACCAAGATTGCCTCTTACGTGAAGCACAGGTGAAAACACAATGCCACGTCTGCGCGCTTGTCCATATAAAGCAGACAGCGTAGTATGACGTCACAAATCCACGCTTAGCGCTACCGCTCACGTCAGCCATATACTTTACGCGAGACACCTGTATTCAATAAAAAATAAACGAACCAGAAGGAAAATGAGGAACAAGCTGAAAACATTGAAGAAATGCATTTAGGGGCCCCCAAACGCATTAGTGAACCACAAAGCTGCAGAGAAGATTCATTTGGTGCGCCCATATAAAACAAAACGCTAAAATAGAACGGCGATTCAGTGACAACACTATCTATACGTTCGCGATTTCTACAGACACACACTGCAAGCGGCACAGCAAGAAACAAGAACTTGAAAACAAAACAACGCTACAAGATAAGTACTCGTGGAGGGAGGCTGATGGAAGACCTGCTCGCGAACGAGAAAACTCGACGGCTTCAAGAAACGTCGTTTCACGCTTAACGTGAAAAAAAAAATTTAAAAAAAGATAAATGCAGGAAGTAACGTTAGGGTTGGTTGTTTCACAAATATTGGTACACCAGTGTGCTTCCGTTGCCTACGGTTAAATGCGGAACTAAAAACGGGACGAAATAAACAAAGAGGACCTAAAATTATCGACTCCCTGCAGCGCCTGAAAGGCACAGGCGCAACGATACAAACGGAGAGTGCACGAAATTCGATGCAAAAGCGATGTAAAGATTCCACTCGGTTATTTCCTCTCCAGCCTTTTTACGAATCAAGCAAGCGCTGTGAAGAATGCGTGAAGGTAAAAAGTAAAATCTACCTCTCTCTCCTAGTTTTTCGTCGTCGTCTATTTTTCAACGAGAGAAGCGTTTACGAGCAAAAGTATCCTGCATACCGGTCATTCAGAAATATGCCGCTACAGTTGCACAAAGAAATGCCGCAATTGCGTAAGAGAGAACAACTCCGCACGTGGCGTCAGTTCAAACGGAAACCGTTCTTTAAAAACGAACATCGACGACACAATTTTTTTTTCTTGTCTCTTAAGCAACAAAATGTCAGAGGAGATTCACAACGAAGTTGGCAAACAATATACACGCAATCTAACTACTCTAAAATCATTCGGGTCAGTCATAGGTTGGCCGCAGACTTAATGAAGTGCGATCTACGGGCAAACTCTATCATAAATGCATTGACTGGAACACAATATATTCTCGTCGTTGTGTTGAAGGTACATATATATATGTGTGCGACTGTCGAGATAAAGCAATATACAGCTACGCTTAAGGTTACCGGTATAGTATAGCGTAATGGAAGTTATTAGTCTGGGGAAAAAAATAGAAAACTAAAAAATCGGGGCTGCAAGCCATTAAACGCGTAACAATGCTGCCCCTGAAGCTCTCGTTTTAAATGCTGGTCGCGTGGAAGTCAACTCGATGGGCGGAATTGTGGGTTAACATGGGTACACACGTAACAATTCTGGGCTAAAACTACTTTTTTCCCCCTTCTTTCCATCAGCAGCTTAACGTACGGCGCTTGACGAAACAGCAGCCTTGCGAGAGATGTTACACATCGCGGTATTCTCCGTGAGCCAATAGGGCCCGAGTTTCACGCGCAGAATTTGACGTCATTTATGATTTAAAAAAAAACCAAAAACAAGGGGTGTATAACAATATCAACAAGGGCTGATCTATGAGCCAAAAAGCAACAAAAATAGAAGAAAAAAATGCTAATCGGAGTCCAGCACCACAAGATTCCACGACGCGATGGTTTCTATGTCAAAGCGCTTCCTACTTACACGTCTGCTGCTTAAACCACAGTATTTTTCTTTAAAGTGTATACCCTACGTGCGTATTGTTAAGGCACAATGCGAGCAGATGACTTATGATTACACACACCACTCAGATCTCACACGCACGTTTGCACACCACAACGAAATGGTCGGTCATGATAGCAGATTATTATACAAACGCGTTATTAACCACAAGACGGCCTAAATGACTCCACAATGGCACGATGTGAATCACCGGAGACGTATGCTAATTTACATGGGTGCACGAGGAGTTTTAACAGATGGTTACTTGTAACAAGGCTAGCACAGTTCTTAACGGTTTATTTTTTTTTCCTGAACGTACAACTTCGAGATCGTTTCTCGGGGTTTTTGTTAACATGGGTGCTACTTGAGAAATTGGTAAGAACAAAATATATATATAAGTATTACGACAAAACTAAAGGTTTAATTCACGCTATAAAGAATTAACAGTGATGGCAATAGCCGCCGAAACATTTGTAAATAGGGGGCGCTACGGGTGCACCAACAGGCTTAAAGGAAGACCACCACGTTCTTCGATATGTCCGACGACCCATCACTATGTGACGCCAGTCGACAGTACGCGGAAAAGTAGTGCGGAATTATAACTAGTAAAGAACAAAAAGGAAGGCGGAGTGGAAGGCAACAACGATACCTAATACTATGTACTAGGCGAACAACAACACACCGCCGCCTCCTTGAGACGAACCGACGTCCACCATCGCATAGCAACGACGGGACAGTGTTCACCAGGGCAACGCTGTCGTCTAGCAGGAATCTTCTATGCCGTAGTGGACCGTAAGAGTGCGCACGTCGGATACCACTACCTCGATGCCACGGTGGTCGAAAGAAGTAATAAAGGCGAGACACGTACAGAAACACGCACGCAGAAGTAACGGGGAGGAAGTCCACTTTCAAAGGATCACGCCCAAAGTCCAAACGGCGAGGCGTTTCGCACAATGCCACCACCACCACCAGGAACCTTTTGCAGACTTCAAGGACACGTGACCGGGCAGCTTGGACGGTGTGGGCAAAGTGTCACGCGTTGAGCCGCCAGGACAGAATTGGGGCGCGAGGTCGAAGGCAGGCCGCCACTAGGAGTAGAAGGTGAGCACGCTGGTCTGGTTGCCTCGGATGAGCAGGAACGGCGGCAGGTCCCTGGTCAGGGTCTCCAGCCAGGCCATGTACATGGAGGCCGAGCAAGTGCTCTTGCGCGGCATCGGGAGGGTCCTGCCGAGCGAAAACGCGACAGGGGGACGAGCCATGAATTCCACTCGATATTGGAATGCTTACAAGCTTTGCAAGCTCACAAGCCTTTAGTTTTGCCTTCCTACAACCGCATAGCCCTGAACGAAACGAGGTAAACGTATACATAGAGCAAATGGAAACGTCCAGAAGGTATTTAGTCGTAAATACGAGAGAAATGCGCGTTAGCATTATATAGGGGCACCCCTTTTATCGAATCCCTTCTGTACTTCCAAGAATTATGTTAATTCACTTCCTACTAACTCATGTAACCTTTCACTGGTCACGCGAAACTGGTGTGACACCTAATTGTCGTTGTACCATTTCTGGTCCTGACACTCGATGATATTGCTTGGAAATACGAACAGTCAACCGTGTTGTCATTGGCCGTGTACACATACGAGCTTCACTATAGTCTAATGATAGTGAGAGAAATGGCTGGCTTGTCGTTGACACCACCATCGTAAGAATATGTTACAAAACACACTCGCACTAACACAAAGGCACTACATAAACGCGGGAATTTTGTGGACGACGTCACAGCAAGAGGTACTCACATAGCGACCAACGTGGCATTCTTGGAATGTTTCTGCAGCAACTCGCGAAGACGCAGGTGCCGGTACGTCTGGAGAAGAGGAAAGACGAAAAAAAACACAATGGTGAGCTGAAACGTTCTGACAGCTGTTGCAGACAAGTCATTGCCTCTGACATTTCTACAACACGTCGCCGATTTGTGAATTCAAGCCACACTGCATGTTCGGTCGAATTCCTGTCCTCTCGAAGCTCGCAAACGTGACCAGGGTCCGACTTTGCGAAGAAACACTTCGTACACTCGTGCCATTTGCCATAGAACAACCGCCGTCACTATTATACGAGTGTCACGCAGGTGCTTCGGACCTCGACTGAGACTTGATCTGGATGGAATTTATCGGCTGTTATTTGCTCGCCTTCGCGTTTTGCGTGAATAAGCTGATCAATATCAACAGGCGCAGTCCCGATCGGGCTCGACTGCAACAGAAACTTCGCCCCGTGACACCCGTATGATATGTACAGTGTCAATTTTTATGAAAGGGAACACGCGAACGCGTGGCCTGCGCGCTCTGGCGGCTGCTGGCAGCGCGTTCAAGCAGGAGCGATAGCAACCCCAGCCTATATTCCCGTCATTTAGTGGCGACCAAAACAACCGGTCATTGGTGATATGGAACCGGCGGCAAGATAGCAAACCCCCTCCCCTTTCAAGGCGATTACGCTCGACCTCTAACCCCGGTATTCACAAACGCTCCTCGACTTTCTCCCTTCACTTGACAGAATTAAGAGAAAGACAGACGTGCGATTTTCTCTGCGATTCGGCGTGCGGTGCGACGATGCGACTGCCGGAGTGGTGACGTTTCGTGACGTATCATCGCGTCGCAACACCGCATAGCCCACGGAGGAAGGAAAAAGGTTTTTCCTTCCTCCGTGGCATAGCCGGTGCGGCGAGCATCAAACCGGCCAGATATTTTCGTCGCAGCATCGCGCCGCCGCATGGCAGCAGCCAATCACAGCGCGAGCATACGAGTGGCGTCACGATGCTAGTGGCGCCATCTCCCTGTCGCCGCTCCCATCACCCGTGGTCCAAGGCTCCAGGCGAGTCAATGGAGCGGTGCGAGCGTGGATTCGCTGACATCGCCGACTGCGGCAGTGCGGCGGCGTGACAAACATCGAGCACATTTCCCTGGAGACGTGATATTATTCTGGAATGAATAAAGTGATGCTTTAAGTGTGCTATTTCTGCACGACAACGCCCATTTTGAAACCGCTAACGAGATCGGAGATCGTGAGCAGCGATGCAAGGTCATTTCGCAGGTAAACACTGCTACCGGCGTCTCTCCGCTCGCTCGCTTCGCTTCCACCTTTGCTCTTCCCATCGATGACATCGATAAAGTAATAATGAATGCTAACGCATTACATACGAGCGCAATGCTTGATAGTGTTGTCAAAAACAAGCGCTCGATGACGAGCTCGCGTGTGAACGGCGTAGGCGACGGCCGGCGCCCGCGATGCTAGGCCTACCTGTCGGAGTCGTGAATAATCAGCTGTTGCCGTTGTTACGGCGTGCTTGTTCACGAATGCGATTTATTAATTATTTTTATAGAACGAAGCGTGGCTGTGCAATGTTGTTTGTTTTGAGCCTCATTACGAGGATACCAAGTCGTTCGACCCTGCATGCTGAGGCGCCACAGGGGGGTGGAGCCTGCCGCTGATAGCTTCTTCGCCCCCGTGTGTCCCAAAACGTCGCATGGTGCGGCACGCCGCACCATGCGACGCCGCATCACACGGAAAATCGCACGTCTGTCTCGCGCTTTAAGCAGTGCGCCACTGCTCGGCTGAAAATGACGCTGCGCTGCTCGAGAATCGATGCAGATTATCCCTGATGTGCAGTGACTTGCCGTTCTTAGAGATGGCCCTCCCGCCGGCTTTCTCAAGTGAATGTGAAGCGTTGAATGAAGGGACGTTCTAGAATACGGGGGTAAGTAATCGCCTCGAAGGGGGAGAGGGTTGCAATCTCGCAGCTGGTTTGGTATAAGCATCACCAGTGACTGCTTGCTTTGCTCGCGTCGAGATGATGCGAAAAGAGGATGTGGTTGCTAGCGCTCCCGCTTGGACGCGCTGCCGGTTGCCGCCAGAAAGCGCAGGCCACGCGCTCCCGTGTCCCCTTTCATAAAAATTGACAGTGTACATCACCACTGGCTTGCATCAGATCTTAATAAGAACTATATATAGCTCAAGAACATTTCTGTGCATGAGGGCCCAGCGTCGCAGGCTGTGCAGGTATCTGAAGTGATAAACGAATGAAAATTGTCATCGGCACTTCGATAATTTTCCACGTGGAGAGCCCTGACTTACTGACAATCTATGCAGACTGGCTTTTAAAATGGTATTAAAATAATTTATTGCAATCTGAAACAGGGGCATGCCACTGTTCGGTTACACTCTTAAAAATAAAGTTATTATATAGGCAGTAAATGCATATGTCTACTAGTTGACTGTTTACTCGACAATCTTCTTGCACGATATGTGTCAGCCAGGTTCTGATAAGGCTACAAATTACTGTTTTTGTCAGTCAAAATAGTTTCTTGGTTTTTTTAACAAGTTAATTCGAAAGCCATTTCCACTCTTCATGCATCATTCGAAACCTATCGCACTGTGTAAAAAAATGCTCCTAGCGTGAGTAACCGAAAGGTAAACTGTGCTACAGCTTGTTACAAGCTCATGCAGAACGTAGCTGCGATTGCAAGTTATGTTTGGCTAAAAAGGTGCACTTCGCGGCAGTTAACTTACTGCACCTGTACTTTTGTCGTATTAAGAAATGCCGGCTCAAAAGTCGCAATGTTTTTTTTTTTTTCGCGATAGCCCCGCCGCGGTGGTCTAGTGGCTAAGGTACTCGGCTGCTGACCCGCAGGGCGCGGGTTCGAATCCCGGCTACGGCGGCTGCATTTCCGATGGAGGCGGAAATGTTGTAGGCCCGTGTGCTCAGATTTGGGTGCACGTTAAAGAACCCCAGGTGGTCGAAATTTCCGGAGCCCTCCACTACGGCGTCTCTCATAATCATATAGTGGTTTTGGGACGTTAAACCCCACAAATCAATCATCATTTTCCCGCGATACGTTTTTGTGTACGGCCATACGCGTTCGCACTCATTCGCTATCGGGGCACTTCGATAGGAACATGCGCAGTTGCAGCAATATAAGCGTAAGTGCCTGTCGCAACACATTCCATTACCAGACGATAGCTCGTCGCTGTTTTATCGGATATCTCGAGAGGTGTACGACGTCAAGAAGTTGCGTGTGCCGTCCTGCGATATCTCGTTCAATGGGACGATACACACTATCTCTCAGTTTTGCTACGTTCTTTACTTTTTTTCTTGTACGCTCTTAGTCCTGATAGCCACGTATTTGTACCTATAGGAACAGGTCGAGCAGCGCAGGATCTTGTTCGTGCCAAAGATGCCCTACATCCACATTATCTGTATACGACGCAGGAGTTTGCTGTTCTCGTGTTATCACGAGAAACCCAAAGTCAGACACCCCCTCCCCCCCCCCCCCCCGCTTCGAGATGGTCATCCACGCAAAGTACTCCTGGACTAACCAGCATTACTTTTCGCTAATGGGCGTAGGTGTGCATGAAGCCAGGTATAGTTTATCTTGCCCAGTCGATGTACTTGTAGCCTACTCGCCCTAAGTATACAGGAGCGAAAAAGACCGCGTCTTCATTCCTTGAAGTTTGGGACAACTGGTTTATTTGCCACAAAAAACAAGCTTCGAAAAACGCGATAATATAAAAGGGGCGTGGTTCTGCGCATCTCCTGCGGCGTGCGTCGGAGATAACGCGAAGTATTTTGTCCGCGCATGCGCCGTGCGCCTCGACATGTGAATTGGTATGCGCACACAACTAAAAATAATCGCGATCACCGGCGTAAACGTCCGCTACGTAAGAATAATGGCTGGAGCTAAAGTAATACACGAAAAACAGGCCAGCGCGACCTCCACAAGTTGCTTCGACTGATTGCATTTATTCCACAAAGTGAGGCTGAACATCAGCAGGCTTTCATCAATTATTAAAAATAAATAAACAGATTAGTTGTTACACGTTCATCTTGCAAACAGAACAAGCGCTACAAAAACGTGGCTTCCTGGGCCTCTCTGTTGATGCATTTGATAAGTTTTTAACGTAAGCTTGATAAGTTTTTAACGTAAGCTTGATAAGTTTTTAACGTAAGCTTGATGTGCCCGTCAAACAAAGAGATGTAGCAGCGCGCGAGAACTGATGAGATGTACGACACGTGAATTGAAGGATAAATCCACATGTCATACTTGTCGTGCAACCGAGGTAGTGAGAGACACCGTGATCGCTTACTTTGTCCTTGAGCGCGAGCATCTCAGAGTCCGAGATTTCCAGTGGGTCGTGCTCCACCTCCGCGTCGTCTTCCGTCCGACGCCATTTGCGGACCAGTTCTTCGAATTCGCGCTTGCTGCAAAGGGGCAGAAACCAAACTCGCAAGCACGAACACCCGCTGGGATGCAAGTCATGCTAGCGACCTCCCAATGTATTACTATGCATATGGCACCTCGCATAACATTGGTAACAAGTTAGTCACTAAAAGGAAACCTCACTCTAACAACCACTGATATTACGAATTAACGGTTATAGCTAAAGAAATACGAACTTTGGTTGTACACGCTTCAATCTAGTGACATTCGTGTTTTTTTTTTTATAACGAAACCTGAAACCCTAGACACGCTGCGTTATCGGCTGTAACAAGAAAAACAACGATTGGTTTTCACGATCGAGGCTCAGAACTCGAAGGGAAACACATTTTGCAACAGCCGTTTGCATCACATGCTCCTTCAAATAAATGTGAATGAAGGTCTGTTTTCTCAAACGAAGTTTGCTCTGTCGTGATTTCACCTTTCAATGTTCCGCTCAATTTAGTTAGAAATGCTATCTATAAGGAGACAGGCAAAGTTGAATGAGCTTACGGTGAATAGAAACTATAGAATTTAAGCGCGTGGAACATGAGCGACTGCGCAATGAACGCCAGCGTCAACGTGGCCGCTAGTGTAGGCTTTAGCGCCCGCTGCTTCACATCTACACATGGCTCCCTTTGGCGGGAGATGGTGTAAATGTTTTTTTTTCTATTCAGAGATTTACGCGAGCCGCATTGTCACTTTATTTGATCAGATTTCTATAATGAATACGGGATGTAACTAAATAATTTATGGATACGATTCTACTTCGTTACAAAAAGTTCCGACTGTGTAACTGGAATACTCATGCCGCGATGTCTATTAAAGAAATGGTTGCAGCGGTAATTGTCCCGCCGCACATTGCGGCCTTCCTGAATCTTCGTACAGGGTCGTAAAAATTAATGGTGCCGTTTTAAATGGTATACTGAAATTAAGATCGGTGCATGAACCGCGCTTCATAGATCACTTGCTAGATGATGCTTCCTCTGTTATCGCCTAACGTGTTTCGATAGACCGTCAAAAATCGGGTGTTGAAACCCGAAATTCGGCGTGGAGCTGTAGCAGTAAAATAGCGTTCACATAACTATTTGTACATTCGTTGAGCTGAGCCCTTGTTACGCTCTGCTTTGCAGCCGTTGCCGTGTTGCATGCCCGCAGCATTGCTGGTCATTACAAAAAGAAAAAGAAAAAGCAGCTCATGGTGGAGTTCTAAGATAAACACCGAAGCCAGCTTGAAAAAAAATCCGTAATTGGTCACGATTTCTGCTGATTGCGGCAGTCCTCGTATGGCTTCTTTCTGGTGGTAATCAGCGGTCCCATGTAAGAAGTTGGTGTATTTCCAGATCTTATCGCATGTCATACCAAACTGCAGCTAGTGTTCCAGGTATGGCGTGAAAAAAATTGCTCATCTTCTTCGGGGATTATCTTCCGACAAATGTTTCACAAAAAGGAATATTCTATGAGCCTCATGCAACCGTTAGTCTTTGGCTCAGTGATTTCACCCTGTCACAAAGTACACATCCTACGAAAGACGTTGAAGGCCCCAACAAAAATGTGACGTGCTCGAACGCTGCCGCTACATTTAGGCAAACACAAAAAAGCGCGAATCATGCCGTACCTTGATTCAGCCGGAGGCCGCACGATGTCCGGGATGACTGTGACGTCGGAGTACTCGATACGGAACTTGCTCAGCAGTGACGCCATGCTGCATGCGCAAACAAAATGGTGGTCACGTTCGAGCTATACTCACCTCAAACGCTAAGGCCGGTGATCTCGAAGGCAAGCTTTTAAAATATGTAATGACGGATGGCGACATCCGTTGACACAGACACCACACGGGATACCTTGCCGTTGTTCTGAACGCTGTCGAAATTCAGCCCCTTTGATGACGTCCTTAGCCAAATAAAAAGCCAAAGCCAACTTGTGAGTCAATCAAAGCTGACGGGATGGCCAGTTCAACCATACACGGGGAACTTAAACAATTTAGAGGACATTGTCCCCCCCCCCCCCCCACTCCTCGCGTGGTTCACGCAAGCATAAAACTTCATTATCTCGAATGCCGCCTGCGATTGGTTATGCCTTACTCATACGTCACGATCGTGCCAATGAACACTCTGAACACAAAAGGTGTTCAAGCATCGCCCGTGAGCAAGCGCTCCTTATTTTGTGTGTGCGATCCCTGAAACGTTGCCTCGGCAGGTGCGGATTGGTTTAGGAAAAAGACAAAGGACAGAAAGAGGCCATTCTGCGCTCCCCTAAGAAAAATGTCGAACCAACGTCCTTGAAACTCACTGAAAACGTCCAACAACTGACCATATTGAAACCTGAAACTCTGCTATGATAGAAGAAAAGAGTGTTCGTTCAGTCGATGACGCGACCAGTCAATCAGGACGTCTCGTTCTCAAAGACTGGCACGGCCTTATTGTGCTACTCTGAAAGCGCGTCGAGTGGTTGCAACGAAAATTAGACCCACAGACACAGGAAACAGACACTGTTGACCAACAAGAGTTGTTAGCAGAGTCTTCGTGTTTCTCTCCCTCGTTCGTGCGTCTAACTTTTGATGCAACCATTCAACATGCAAGATCAGCAACTAGCCCGGATGCAAACCATTCTAAATATAGTACATAAAAAAACGGTAGTCTATATCTAATGCTTCCACGAACGTAAACGGACACGGCTGATAAATCAAACCACAGTGATTTATACTGTTGCGATCGGCGCCCGAGTCAAGGAGAAAACGGTGTCCGATGTTCTGCGAAAAGGACACCGGAGGGCTGCAGCTCCGGAAGCACAGCTACAGTAGTTACGGTTGGTCGAGACTTCACTTATAAGTTCTTGTGGCAACTGTTGATTCCTCACGGTGCTCTCGACACCATGCTGGCGGCGGTCGGCAAAGCTAAAATATGGCGCATATATAGTTTACAACATTATAGCAGATTCAGGCCCAACTGTCTTGTCTCACGGGTCTCCCAGTTCGTCCTCTGTGAAAGAAATGACCATGATTCAGCGTGCGCGTCTCCATGCGCATGCCGCCTTCCGAGGAAGAGTAAAAAATAAACACGACGATGAAACCCGCATAACTATTAGTAAAGTTGACATGTGTCACAAACGAGGGCTCCGAAAAAGCGCGCGCCGCCGAATTCCAGCGACAGTAACGATACCAAGCGCAGAGAGGCGCCTCAAAGTCAACGATAAAAAAGAAAATAAACATCCAAAGGCTCCCCGGGTGCGCCGTCTCTCCCCTCTCGGAAGCGTAGTATCGCCGACTAACCTCCTCACATCGGCGGCCGAGCAAGCCCTGGAAGGTTCTCGAGGGAAAGAGGCGTGGTGATGCAGAGTTGCGTCATCAGTCATCTGTCGCGGACGGCCCTCGAACCGTCTCGCGCTTTCCCCCAGCCTTCGCTGCGTATCGCGCCGACGAACCGATGAGAATTTTCTGGAATCTAGCGCGGAAGGTATTTGACCGAGCAGCAGAGATGGGAGAGAAGGAGAGGAAGGAATTGTGCGCCAGAGTGCGTAGGGAGTTTCCACCGTGTCGTAGGCGAAGCCTTTGGACCTCAGTGACAAAGGAGGAGAAGAAGAAAGTTCGCGCCCGTGTGCGTAGGCAGAAGATGAAAGTTTTGCACAAGTGTGCGTAGGGTCTTTCCGCCGTGTGGGCGAAGCCTTTTGTCCTCAGTGACAAAGGAAGAGTAGAAGATTTTCACCTGACGGGTGAAGACTCGTGCTACAGGCAGGAGTGTGTGTCTACCGCCCGCGACCGAAGGCGCGTGGGAAGCCGACGTGTTACCGGCGAAGAAGTTTGGTGCTTGGAGAGCGGCCAATTGAAGACGCGAGGTTTTCTGGAAGAGAAACTTCGGGGGCAGCGGAACGACAACAGCGCTGGACTTTGAGTGAGTGATTCTCGAAAGAGTATCATTCAAACTTTGGTTCCAAGGACTTTGGACTGAATAAGTTTTCGAACTCTTTAGTCTTTAGGAGTCTTGATTGTTCGATGCATGCGACTGCATTGTAGTGCGTATTCAACGATTGTCGAGTGTGCATATTTGTGTATCGTTTTGATCTGCCATAATTGAGAATATCATTTTGTTGTGTTTATCAGCTCTCGGCTCTGACTTATTCTTTGGGCCACAGCCGGCGTCCGCTGGCGCGCCAAATAGGCCCACTTCTAAATTGTCCACGCTTTCGTGGTGCAGTTCGGGGGGGCCGATACTTCGGCCCTTGGAATTAGCCCGGCGATCGCCTCCCTAATTAACGCGACCTGTGACAACATGATGACTAATCTTAAAGGTTGAAGGACTCCGGCGATTTTTTGACCATGTCAGGTTAATGGTGCTTTCATGTTCCTTAGACACTCTTCTCACGCGCCCGATAACGGAAATGCTCGAAAAATTCGAAAATAATTTTCAATTACCAAAAACCCGCAATACCGAAACCGAGACTCAACCGAGTGCGCTTCTACGTGTGACGTAAACATTTGCCCGACGCTGCCGGAACCTGCCAGATTGCACATAATGCCCGCCAGATGGCACTACCTGTCCACGGCGTCCGCGGCGATCGGCTAAAACGCTTACGCTGTTATGGTGAATATATGGTGAATCGTGTGTGGCTCACAACGCAACACCACTCGGCACCTATCTCACGTACACCAGCGCGAAAAAGGAAATCACACGCTCAACTAAGGAAGCACGGGCCAAACCCACACAATCCATAGCAGACAAGCAGACGCTGCAGTGCCACATCAGTTCGTCCCTTCCACCAGGCAAAACTCAACATCACACACACAATGTTGCCATTAATTCTGGCAAGCGAGGTGAGCGTTTCGAGGCAAGCTATAAAATTCATTTGCAAAACTCTCAATCTGCAATAGACAAATACCGACAATAGACAGATACCGGGCTTTCCGGGATACTGGGCGTACTGTGAAACTCGAATCGAAGTGCGCATGCGCAGATACGCACGTTACCTGTACCGCTTACCGTAAGCGCGGTATTTTTCAGATTTAAGGTCACCGTGGTAGCGTACGTGTACGTAGTGTACGTAAGCATGGCGGCGCTCTCGGACGCCCGCTTCGAAGTGATTTTGGCGAAGTTGTTGAAATATACGCTTTGTTCGCAGCAAACGACTGTTTAAAGTGGCTTTGCTTACTTCAGTTAGCTTCGACGATTGAGTATTACGGATAAGTTGGCGTAGTTTTTGAGATAGCTTCCATTTTGAACGTGTCTACGCCTAACTGGAGGATCTGTGTAAACAAATATTGCAAGGTAAAATTTCTCGCTTTTGGGGAACGGTCCATATTTATTTACTTTTATCATCTAAAATGAACTTGTAACAATGCTTTGCGCGGTGACATAGGCAGACACTCTCGTTTTCTTTTCACTGTTCTTACTTCTCAAATTTCCGATAGGTGGCGCCACCATCCCACCTGGGGCACGTAAACGCTATTCCGCTAAACAATAGACAGTTATAGTTTACCGGGCTTACCAGGATACCGGGCGTACCATGATACCGGAATCGAAGTGCGCATGCGCAGATACTTCCGGTACCCGTACCGCTTACCGTACGCGCGGTGCTTTTCAGATTTAAGGTTACCGTGGCGTAAGTGTACGTAGCGTACGTAAACGTGCCGGCGCTCTCGGACGCCCGCTTCGAAAGTGAGTTTGGCGTAGTTGTTGAAAGATTCACTTTGTTCGCAGGAAACGACTTTTTAAAACGGCTTCGCTTGCCTTCAGTTAGCTTCGATGAGCGAGTATTACAAATAAGTTCGCGTATATTTTTAGGTAGCTTCCCATTTCGAACGCGTTTAGGCCTAACTACAAGATCAATGTAAACGAATTGGCAACATAATTTCTTTTGCGTTTGGTGCATGGTTCATATTTATTTGCTTTTATTAATAGTAAAATAAACTTGCAACAATGCTTCGCGCGGTGGCATAGGCAAACATTCTCGTTTCGTTTCCTTTTCACCGTCTTTAACTTACTGACCATCCGATAGGTGGCACCACCGTCACAGCTGGGGCACGTAAACGCTACTTCGCTAAACTATAATACGCTGTTCACAACGAACGTTTGCTGCACGGTATCGTCATTCCCTTAACTTCCGCTATCACACTAACGGTAAACTATAACTGTCTTATGCCCCTGTCACGCGGGCACCCGTGAAGACCGTTTAACTCCCTCGTCTTTACGACAACGATAATGCGGTCGGTGTCACACGGCCATCCTTACGCAAACGAAGGTGAACGGAGCAATTCGGAAAGGACGTTCAACGATCTCCCTTCGCAGCGAAACGAGGTACTCTCGTCCTCAGCAGTCTAGGGGTCAGAGAAAATTTTCGAGCACTAAGTGGCCGCAGTGAAAGAATAATACATTTTAGCAATATTAAACGTTCTTTCGTTGTATTACTCATTCACAACGCGTGTTTGTTTACAATATTTACGCCCGCCAGAGCTCACTTACTCCCATCACCGATGCCCTACACACCGTGCCTCGCGAGTCGGGCCGGCCGGTGCCAGCCGATCAACGTCATTATTAGCGTAATATCGCACCACTTCCTCACGTCATCCGCTGTGTCACTCATGGCTGAAGAACACAAGATGTGAGCTCACGAGGCAAGGAAGCATACGAACTTTCGTACCAGTCCTTCCTCCGTGCAGGCAACAAAACAACTAAAAGCACAATGTGGCCAGCGTCACTAGCAGCATTGCTACATTTAGCAAATGCGTTTTTATTTGAAATTACTTTTAATCGTTTGTTAGTCGCATACTTACTTAATAGTGCTTTTTTGTAAAAAACGCATAACGAGGATTCACCAAAAAATCAATAGGGATCAAATTAGAATACTTTTCCGAAAATCAAACAGCGCCAGCTGAACCCCCTCGCGGCAACTGTTACAACCTTGTCATTGCCGTGTGACACTGCCACAACTCCTTCTCCGTCGAACCCCCTAGGAGAGATTTACGTTGACGGTGTTCAACGGAGTTTGGTGATGGCCGTGTGACAGGGGTATATATGACACTGTCCGCAACGAACGTTTGCTGCACAGTATCGTCATTCCCTTAACTTCCGCTTTCACGCTAACGGTAAACTATAACTGTCTATTGTACGCGCATACGGAAAGGAACCGTGTCGTATTTCCGTAGCTTGCTAAAACCTCTATTGTCTGCAGGACGTATCACGCAGAATCATGCGTCAACGAGATGTCCCTGTACACACTTGCGCCAGCCTGTCCTGTAACGTTCGTTGAGAGACAACGTGTGCCGATTTGAATTCCGCGGCAGCATGCTCACTTTCGCTGTTCCCGGTCGAGTTCCTCCTTCTTGTTGGCCAGCGAGAAGACGCGCAACTTGCATCCGCTCCAATTGTTGCGTGTGGACAGCAGGTACGGAATGAGCATCGTCAGGCCTGCAGAGAACACCACGTAAGTCAGACCCATTTGGCGAGCACTGTGCGCTTGTGCCGCGTAATCACGATTCTAAGCGTGTGAGGGTGCGTCTTGTGCTAGTCCGGTTTGCCGACACAGGCCGGTTAACGAATTTGCGCCTTATTGCGAGCAAGGTAGAACCGAAGCTCAGCGGAACATAGATAATTGAAGGTACGCCGAATTGCGAAATACCAGAGCAAAGAATGTGACTGGACTTAACCTTCCGATAAGAGGTTTTTCTTCGTCACATTCTTTGTTTCACGATTTCTCGTAATATTAACACATTATTTTTAGAAGACCAATTAGACAACCATATTTGAATACAGCTGACTCAACGCAATATAGAAGTGTGGCAGCTTGGGCTAGTTGGTATGGCATGACGATAGTTATAGCGCGAGAACAAAACAACGACACAGAGACAAGAAGGAGACGAAGGACACGAGCGCTCGTGTCCTTCGCCTCCTTCTTGTCTCTGTGTCGTCGTTTTGTTATCGCGCTATAACTATCGTCAACGCAATAGTTACGTCGTGTGAACTTCGTTCTCACCTCCGTCGTCGTACAGCCACCAGACGTCGATGGTTCCCTTCTTCTGCTTGCGCAGGAACTGGTTGATGGACAGCGGCAGTTCCTTGGGCTCATCGGACGTCTTGTTGGTGTCCTCGGCACCCTGGTGATGCTGCTGCGGCATCACGTTGACCACCACCGAGGCCGGCTCGGGCTCGGCCAGCGGAGCCTTCTCGGAGGCGTTGCCCGGCATGCCCACCGCTCGACTCATGTGCGGAGTGGCCGGCGGGGAGGGCTCCCGGGAACTTCCGCCTGCGTGGACAGCGTGCGGCGCCTCGTTGGCACTCGCATACGCAATGCGTGGCAAGTGCGGAAAAGAGCTGGCGACCTAGTTTCGTGTACTACATCAACGTTGGAAGGAGTTGGCGAGAAATCCGTTGAAGATAACTGTAAAAGCAAAGCTTACTTTTTTGTATACAAATTGTCTGGACGAAAGTTCACCATCACCGTCATGTTCCTAATTAGTACAAGTGTGACAATGTGCGCACCGAATGAGTGCGTGAAATGAACTTTATTTGGTCCTGGGGAACTGGTCAGACGCCCTCCTAAGAGGTGTCTGCCACAGTTGCTGGCTGCGTCCACGCCGGGACTGGAAGACCATGGCTCTCCACCCGTTCGCAGGCCTCCTGGACTGCCGAGTATTGGACTGAGAGATCGGGGCTTTTAAGAGCCCTCTACCAGTCTTCTTCTGTGCTGAACTTTGCGCCATGTAACGCCGGGCACTGCCAGAGCATGTGAGCGAGTGTGCAGTTATGTGCCTCACAACTAGGGCATCCTGGAGTTATACCATCAGCAAAGTGGCTGAATGTGCTACGAGATGGGAATGAACCTGCCTGTAGCATCCGAAGAACCAACGACTGTGGCCGAGTGAGCTTGGAATGCGGAAGCGGTTACCTCCGCCTAGACAACTGATATTGGGACGTCCCTTCGTTAAAGGTGCCAAGTGGATCTTTAAAGTTATCCGCGAACCCACCTCCGTACCACCCGGACCGCCGCGGCACGTGATTTCTCGCGCACGGTTATGGGCAAGTTCGTTGGCGTTGGGAAGAGTCAGATGCACCTCTGAGCCCATGTGGGCCGGAAACCAGGTGATTGCGTGGTGGTCTACTACCGAGTGTTGTGCCTCGGAAAGTGCGCGGGGCTGAGCCGAGCCGAGGATAACTTATCACTGTATTATCATGGCAGCAGAGGTGGCGAACCGGGAAGAAAGGCAAGACGCATAGATATCTATGAATGTGCCTCTCACCTTAGCTTTGTACAGTCAGTGTGAAGTAAGATATAATGTCAGGAGCGTCATTTATGCTGCGGCAACATGGGACTACTTGAAGGGCTGCACCTCGTCCCATAACCCTAAAGAACCAGTATCACCCTTAATTACTTTCATTAATAAAGTGTTGCTAAGCGACGTATGCGTCAATACTTTTAAAGCGCCATATGTCACAGGAGGTTATTTGTTCGATTGTTCTGTGCGTTCACCTGGCTTCTGCATTCAGAAGCGCTGGTTTAAATTCACCCATGGGACCCACAGTTTTTTTTTTTTTTAAGGGACAGCTTGTTGTGACCCACCCAGCATATTCTCACCCGCACACCCGTGCTTCCACAGTGCAAAATTTGAGACCCTCAACTTTTCCTCTGCGTGGTGGGCTCGCCCGAAAGCGGACTCGAGAACAACCAGGGTGTTTGAATAGAATCGCACAACTATACCTACGCGCTAACAGGGCGCAGTTTCTTCTCTTGCGTGAAAATCGAGAGTTCTGCGTACGCCAAACAGCGCTTCAGGCATAAGGAATGTGAAAAAAAGGCATAACAGGGGTATTCCAGCGAGTGCATCTCGTCCCATTCGGCTTGAACTGTAAGTAATTTCTCACTACTGGACCGCAAATGAATGCGATTACAAGTGATACCAACACGAGCATCTAAGCTAATAAAGTTGTAAACGTTGCCGAACCTACCCGGTAATCTAGACACGCCGAAATGCTATCATTTTGCATGTGCCCTCCTGACAATGCATGACTGTGATTAGGGATTTCTTTCCCTTGGCATCAGCGTTCATCTACCTTAAAATGTCGCACAGTTCCGTCGGTAGACTAGCTTGTAAATATTAGGCTTGTATCTCACCCATGGACAGCTGTGCGCTGGAAATGTTTCGCGGGAAGGCTCCCGACGAGTTCTCGCGCTCAATGCCTCCCGGCACGGTGAGCATGTCGAGCTTCTTGCCGTTGGCGGCCACCGCGGTGTCCTGGTCCGCGTACTCGGAGTAGTCGTGGCCCTCGGGCAGCCGGAGGATACAGACAGACATGTACAGGTCCAGGACGTCACTGCAAGACAGAGACGGCGGATGAAGCTAGTAGACCTCTGGAATCAGTATTCCGTTATCACTAAACTCACATTTGTCTGCCGCGCGTGCGCCTTAGGCGACTCGAAAACGAAAGCCATCTTTCAAAACGAAGCTGTTCTATGCCGGGGACCGCTAGATCAGATACCAACTCTGCGCCAAGGTCACATACTTTTATTGCTCTAAAAATACGCCTTTCATTGCGATAGCAATTATATGGACAGTCTCACACCGCCGCAGTCGTCAACGTGGACATATATATATATATATATATATATATATATATATATATATATATATATATATATATATATATATATATATATTGTGGGCATTTGTTACTTACATCGTCATCATTCCTGCATGATCACAATCACCATCATCAGCTTGTCTCTTTGTCCTCATTGCCACTCTGGGTCATCATCATCGTCAACGTCTGTGTACTGGCTCTGGCCGTTCGTTTTGCGAGGTCTTTCCTCAAATAAACGCTGACGCAGCCAAGACTACCAAGACTTCATACGTGGTGGAAGTGCTGGGTAATATATATATATATATATATATATATATATATATATATATATATATATATATATATATATATATATATATCGTAGCCTTCTCTTACTGCGGAGCGAACATCGGCCAGGGTCGCCTACGCGCGCGCCTATCTCGTGAGCGAAAAGGGGGGGGGGGCGCTTTTGGTTACCAGCGCTATCGTGGCAACGATCAGCGCGCGGCTCTTGCCCCCGCAGCAGGCGGGAGTTTCTACGCGCTACGCTCTCAACTCGACAAAAACGGTGCTAAAAGCATACCTGGAGCGGCTGTCCCAATATAGATGCGCTCTGCACATCTGCCACCAGCGGCGACACACGATGTATAGCTCTTCTTAGTACCAGCATGCGCTGCCCGCGGGAGGCGCTTCTCATTAACGCCGTCACTACGGACGAGCCTTGTTGTGGTCATCTATTGTGGCCACGACGCAGGAAACTCTGTTATTTAGCAAGCGCATGTTTAGTACAATTATTATTGTTCCCACAAATGCTATCCTTGATTCGTAAAACGTTGGAATATATTGCTATCGCATTCATTGCCTCGCCCCTTTTGGCGAAACTTTGACCTTTTATATCTACCACTGTCCTCTCACATTGGTCTTGATAACATGCAGTAACGCGTCATGAGCGCGACTTAGCGATTAGTTGCTTCAACGCGCCCTTTCTAAGCATTCGTTCCATTCGACGTGTTTCCTATAGGAACAGCGCAATGGCAAGGCCTTTTGCCCTAATGTACGATGTAGATGGCCTAAGAATGACGCCGTCAGCACACGTGTACCATATAAGCCAGCCGACGGCGTTGTTTTTTCTGCCGAGCGATAAATGGGTCGCGCAGCTGGCTCCATCACTCACTGGATGACGGTGAAGTACTTGAGCACCTCCTGGCGGTCGCACGTTTGCCAGTTGGACTTGTAGCCAATCATCACCACGTTGGGGCGGAGCTTGCCCAGTCCGCAAGACTGTAGGACAAAAATGAATAAAACAAAGTGGTTGGCACCTCTTTCATAGATTTTGGTCACAACGCGGTAAATGTTTTTTTTTAGATAGAAGTTAGTTGCAAGACATTGAATAATTGTCGGATGTTAACAAATACGAGGTCGTAAATGCCTGTCTTAAAATTCAAAAAAAAAACGCAACAGACAACGCATCCTTTTGGAAGTCATGTACCGCACGTGTCTTTGTGAGCATCTTTAAAGGAGCACTGACACTGAATTTGCTCATGTCGAGATTTTTGCGTCAACGAGTAGCTATCGACCCCCTAGTAGCGATTCGCGACCTCAAACACATCTGAGGGTCGAACGAATATCTGGAGTATTGATTAATATATTCTCTATCGAACGCGGTTCAAAATGGGCGGAAAGCCCGCCAAATTTCAGTGCTGGCAAAGCTACCTCGCGGCCACGTCGAGCCCGCTGCAAAGCTGATGTCACCTTCACAAAAAATGGTGACGTCACACTGCCGTTTCGTCTGATAGGAGCGCACGTACAGTCAGTCCAGCAGTGCCTCAGAAGGCGTAGACATGCCTCCGTCGCCAACATCGTCGTCCTCGCCGTCTTCGCGGTCAACATCGGCAAGTGATGATGACAGCGACTCGGAATTGGGTATCGCCTTCCTTGACAAGCTCCGCGTTATATGCAATGTATCTATTAGTCCCGGCCGTATTGTCGGAGCTCAGGAACGCCAACTACGCACCTCATGTCGCGGGCGTTTGGCGAGTGAAATCGCTGCTTTCAGCTGCAATAGAGCACGCGGTAGGAATAGCCACGGCCTCTAGAAGAGGCCTCGTACCGCCAGTGAAACCCAACTGGTCCGCCAACACAGGATTTGCCCTGTAGTAGCTCGCCGCAAAACGAAGGGAGCAAATGCGGCTGTTCTTCAAAGGCGTCCACTCCCTCTGTCGAACGGCGCGTATACGAAGTCAACGCACTGGCTGCGTTGAGGTTCGTGGCTTGGAAAGGAATGAAAGGCCACGCACTTTCCACTTTTTCCGCGCGTCGACGTGCAGGTTCTCACTGGGCAGCGATTCCCCGACATGCTGGCACGTATTGTCGCTCTGAATGATCGTACTCACACGCAGCGAAGCACAATGCAAATCAGTCGATGCAGCACGATGAATCGCACGCACGCTTCAACACAGCAAGGACAGCCACTAGTGAGAACATGGCTGGGAGCCGGCTCCAAGCGCACTCGGAGATCGTCGATGTCATCGTTACTAGCGTATCGTCACTCGGGATGGTATTTGTGGAATGTATCACACCGAACACGTAGCGCTAGTTTCGATGTCGCAGGGCAGTCTATCTTTCGGTTTTTTCTTTCTCCTTGGCTTTTCTACGCTGTTTGACGTCGAAATAAAATAACTTCGATGCGCCGGACGCCATTCAAATTTGGTCAAGAAGGCCTACGCATACCGAGTGATCTAATGACGGGCATATCACGATGTTGAAATTTGATGTCAGTGCCCCTTTAACGACGCTTGCTGGAACGATGTATGGTGTGAACCATGCCTACGGTTATCTCTGAGCTAATCAGGTTTATTTAGATAGGCTTAAAGGAGAGGTGAAGTCGACACCATAAGTGGAAAACCGGAGAGCAGCATTAACATACATCTCGCACCTATTCTAAGGAACGTGCTCTATTACTGGCGTGGACATAATTAACGACGGTAAATTGTTATTAATGAAGACCGGCATAAAATTATTGTGTGTCAGATAAAAAAAGAAACTCAATCGCCACGCTTTCGAAGTTGTAATATGCCCCTGTCGCGATATACTGCACGATGAGAGTCCGAGGTTAATCCCAGGGTGGAGCCCTCCAGCAGAGCCCCGCAGGCCGCGGGCCTGCTCTAGGGCCACCAATTGGCTCCCCAGTGCCATCTCGGAAAGCCGTGATTTGAAAGACTACGTCGAGAGTGTTTGTCGTGAACGACAAACACTCTCGACGTAACAAAACTTAATTAGCCAGCATACCAACTTAATTAGCGAGCAAGCCACGTGTTGGCACCGCCTCCAATGAAGCACACGCCAACTCATGTCAAGACTACACGCAATTTTTTCACAGGTATCTACAACAAGAATTTGCCCCCCTGGTGCAGCGACCACGCTTTAATTGATGGCTTACCAATGCAGTATTGACGTTGGTTTTTGGTATTGGTTTTGGTATTGGCGTTGGTATTGACGTTGGTGTTTGTCGTGAACGAAAAACACCAACGTCAATACTGCATTGGTAAGTCATCAATTAAAGCATGGTAGTGTGGTCGCTGCACCAGGAAGGCAAATTCTTGTTGTATATACCAGTGAAAAAATAGCGTGTAGTCTCGACATGAGTGTGTATGTGCTTCATTGGAGGCGGTGCAGGCGCGTGGCTTGCTCGCTAATTAAGTTGGCATGCTGGCTAATTAGGTCTGGGACCTTTTTTTTTCTCGCTCTAAACACGCGATTCGCGGTCATCATGACGACGTAATCGGCTTCGTCCCCACCACCGCCACCACAGTTTCTTTAGGTGGCGTTGCACCAACCCACCTGCAGCATGGATCGCACGCCGTGCGTGAAGTCCTCGTCCCGCACCAGTATGTAGAAGGCCTTGATCTTGCGTCGCTCGAGCCACGCGTTGGCGCGGTTAGTGAGCGCAGTGCGCGACCGGTACGTCAGGCGGTGCTGCGAAAAACCACATATCTCATCCACTTGACGTCACAGAAGATAAGACCACGGAGCCAATATACGGACAACCGCAATGAACTAACTGCAGCGGAATTTCACTTTGATTAAATTGATTTAATATGAGCATAGCACGCGATTTAGTCATGCGAAATGGAGGTAAGGCAGGAAGAAACAGAGCCTTGTGACTAATTCTGTGAGGACCTTTACAATACTTGCATTATAGGTTCAGGTCCGATAAAGTTATGAAGGCTTCTGGCAGGAATGGTGGCCGAGTACCCCTAAAACTGGATTCTAAGAACTCGTTAATTGCCACCCCGGAACGAGAATGACCAAAAGCTGGCCGTTCGGACGAGGCGCGTCATCGCCTCGTGGTCACTTCTACGTCCACTTCGAAGCAAGTTATCCTTCTGACTATAGGCCTACGAGCGGGGGCGGCTGAGTTCGGGTTCGCAGCGACGCAGCTTGCGTGCTCTCTTTAAAGCACCTCTAGTTTATCAAACGCACCGCTTCCGTATTTCAAACGAAGAAGTGTGGCAACTTGGGCTAATTGGTATGACATGACGATAGTTATAGCGCGAGAACAGAACGATGACACAGAGACAAGAAGGACACGAAGGACACGAACGCTCCTGTCCTTCTTGTCTCTGCGTCGTCGTTCTCTTCTCGCGCTATAACTATCTTCAAACAAAGAGTTTTACAGCGTTATTGGTGCGACGTGGAACACACGGGCTGTACCAACGCCTCCTCTAGATAGGTGCCTGAGGAATGGCTCACGCTCGGAGTTGGCCTGCCTTCAGTTTTAAACAAGCTCCGCGCGGTGGCGCTCGCGACCGACAATATCAAAGGGTACAGCCATATCCATCCATCCATCCATCATCACAGCGACGGGCGGTACCAGCTAAGCGTTTTTTATCTGCGGCCCGTAAGGGCGCGTCAGTCGAGAGTTGTTCAAGACCTGCAACTGCGCATCACTGTTTCGGAGGCTATGCAAAGTGTTGCGTTGTTGCACCGTCCGCCACAAGTGACGCTAGAGACCGAGAACACTTTAAAATGAAAGAGGGAAAGGGTGTGGCAGCTGTTTTTCTGCTCATGCGGCAGGCATCTTCCTAGAGGAGGCGTTGGCTGTACTCACAGGCGTGACGTTGCCACAGATCAGCAGCGAGAGCTTTTTGGTGATGCTGTAGGCGAAGTCCACGAGGGGCGGACGGTGGCTCGGGTCCCCGGTCAGGACCAAGATCTGAGGCCTGCATGAGTTACGCACAGAGGAACCACATCAACGTCTGTATAAATCTGCCGCTGCTGTAACTCTTGAGAAGCGCGGACTGCTGGACGAGTTGGTAATTCATCTCAACTGGGTTGCGCGAAACGAAAATGAACAAAGAAAGAACAGGACACAGCACACTGCCCAGGTGAGCTGTGTCCAGGTGTATTCTTTTTTGTACTTCAATTTTTTTTCGCGCAACTCAGTTTAGACACAGTAACTCCCTGATTTTTTTTTCTCCTTCTTGCTTACTGTGAACAGAGAATGTATGTACATTGAGAAAGCGAACGCTTTGCCGGCGTAAGCTTCGTTGCTGAGCTAGTTGGCGCACAATATTGCTTATGGCAACACGTATCACGAACAAGGACGCGTTTGTGACGCGCTCTGCCCTAATGTAGTACCGAAGCTACCAAACGCTACCTCCGTGGCTAATGCGGAATTTCTTCTCCGTTAATGTATGGGCATTCTAAATTAATAAAAATTGTGGTTCACGATTGCTAAGAGTGAACCCGGAAGCGGTATAAACAAACTTGTAAAGCGATAACGTCCCGCGAAATAACTTTTAAAGCAAGCTTTTATCCCAACGTTCCACTTCTTCTCGCCTCAAACAAACATTCAGAGCCTCTCTCACTGCGCATAACTTAATCGTTTGAAATTGCTACAAGCTGATTTTTAGGATTAAGATAATGATGACGATCTTGTAGGTTGCCGGCGGATTCAGCCTTGAGAAATTTGCAGGCAATTGCCCCGTTCGGTCTCCTCTTGCCGCCGGGCGACACAAGAGTTGCAACGCCACCTGTGGAGTAAATATTTGACTGACAGACGCCCACGCGATAAGTAAGACCGGTATAACAATTGCTCTGATCTTCCTATTAACTTCGCTAGCTTCGAGAAGGCAGAAAGCGGTCAGGTTTTGGCAAGTGGTATAAGAAAAACAAATCCGCCGAAGGTATGCAATATGCTTCTTACGCTAACGCAGTAGGCGACATAAAATGGGCCCCAACACCGGCCACTAACGTTCCGCTAACAAAAACAGCTAAAAGAACAGTCGGCCCTTATGCTAATACGTCATGCGCACGCTTGCATGTGTACCATCGAATTATTTTGTGCGAGAGCGCGACGATCGGCAATGAAATCTTTTGATAAATAAGTCACAGCTGGAACCCACGCTAATTACCATACCTGGAGAGAACAGCCGTACTCAGCTGGAAGCGGTATTCTATGCTCGGAAAGAACCTAGTTTATTTTTGCCTATCTGATTACACTCTTTGCTTTTGAGTTGTGACGTGATTCGACAGCTCTGCTAAACGCGTAAGTAAGGAATCGATTGAGATGAGTGTGCTAGACATTCGAGCCTTGATTTGCAGGTCCGGATTTCCTATACTGCACCATACATTTATTTGAAGAAGTGATCAAGCTTGTGTTATCGAGACACAATGTACTCATGACTTAGATTTCACCAGAGTCAACATTCTCTAATGTGCTATTGCAAATAGAGTCATTAGAAATGATGCACTAACGTCTCTCGCATTCTCTCTAAAAAATGTTAGCTTCAATATTTTTTAACGATGACGAGTACAAAATTTGGGCTGCAGTTAACAGGGTATGAGAAAATGGAGGAAAAAAGTTTACAGCTATGAGATCTGCGCCAGGATTCTATGTAGTTCCATAGGAATCACTCTGTGACTGATACACATTCGTAGTAGTAAGTGGATCTTGAAGGAAGAAAAAAAAAGAGCCAATTTTTGTCTTTCGAATACGTTACGCGGCTAAGACCCGCGTTAAGAAAGGGGATAAAAATAATAGTTAAAAGAGGAAGACACAGACGGGGCACTTGCCACACAGGAGGAAAAACGGGGGACACTGTCGAAGGAGTCCGAGCACAGGGCACAGGATCGGCGAGAGCAATGCTAGTATCGGAGATCGCGGACAACACAACCGTTCAGTCACGGAATACACCTTAGCGAGACTACACAGTAAAGGAAAAGAAAAAGGGCGAAACGTAAAATATGGGTCCGACATGTAGTCCCGGGATAAAACGTTGTAGCCGGTGTGGCAGCAACCTAACTGGACGAGTACAAAAAACACGCACCATCACGCGAACTGGATTGCGTACCTGTAGTTCTTCACGTGCTCTTGTACGGTCTGCAAGCGGTAGACGGAGTTCAGTGCGTCCTTGTAGATCTGAGCTTGCGTCGAAGATCCCCAGTTTACATCTGTGGGACAATGCAGGAGATGACTCACACGTTTTACACCTTCAGCGTCAACACGTAAAAAAAACACCCACTTGGGTATTGAACAACCTAAACCTATACACTGGAACATAAGAACTCACGGGTTACCTCACACGAATCGAACGGCGAAAGTCATCTTTTATTTCGTCTCAGTACGAGACATTTCTGCAGATAACGCGGTTTTTCACAGCATCAGGGATCCAAGGCATTGTAAACTTAATCCAGCTCACCTCATTTTACATTGCCTCCGTGATCAGCGCACTTTTGACCAAACGACAGTGTCATATGATGACGTCATAATATGACGTCACATTACGCGGCATCGCACTGGTGCCGCAGTGGCGCCAGAAATTTCGGCGACCTGTGACACCACCGCGCCATTACAATATTTCGCATCACTCGTGTTGATGCCGTCACCGCCGAACGCCACCAGTTAATTGTTGCGTTTAATTAGGCTTCCAAGTCTTTCGCTTTAGAGATAATTACGACACCAACTCTTCGGCATGAGCGGGTCTCGAGTCCTCGCATACTTTGCTGCGGCAATGAAAGATAGTTCGAAAGTTGGTTTTGTTGCAATACATTGCTAAGAAGTCCTGAAAGTTTGCTTCGCCGCTACATGTCTCTAAGTGCAGTGAAGACAAACTTCAAAGCGTGACTGTGGCAACGGAGATTGGCGTGCGCTGTCTGCGCATAAAAGAAACACTGCTGTACACACAATCATGGCTAGCTGATTTGCATGTAATCTGTTACTAAACATTCTCACAAAAAATGATGCGCAACGGGGATTGCAAGATTCTAAAAATCATAGTGTCCATCCGAGCTCTCCAAATACAGAGCGGGGGAACGCACTGTCATTTTTTTTTCCCCTTTCGGTTTGAAAGTTTCTATATTCAAGAACCATTGCTTGGAAACCAGATTTAGAAACTGTTCTAAAAATATCATCACGAAATGTCGACAAAACTCTACATAATTGTCATACCCCAAATTTCTACGATCCCACTGTGTAGGTTCAGTGATCCTGGTCACGCTGTCACTTTAGCTTACAGAAGGAATGAAGGCGGCACTTCCCGAAATTAAGACGTCCCGTTCATCATAATCTAGGAAAGCTTTCAATAGTTTTTTTAAACTCACGCTTATAAACTGAAACACCAACGAGTTCTTTTAGCTGAAGTGAAAAGGCGTTTCCCGATACTTTTTCTTCGCTTTCAAAGAATGCAAGCGTATTCACTCTCATCGCGAGCGACTCACCGGGTTTCCGGTAGCTGATGTAGATGTATAGGCCGAGTACGACGGCGAAAGTGATGAGCGCCGTCTGCCAGTTCATGATGAACATGACGAACACGCAGAGCATGGCGCCGATCAGGCTGAGCCACATGTTGTAGTACTTGAAGGCCGGACGGAAGCCTGCGGCAAGTCGGAGAAGACGTATTCGAAAGAAAAAAAAAATATGGACATTCCAGAGAGCACATCCACTCGTAAATTCTGCATCCGCTGGCTTCACTTGACAGAAATGTGAAAACCCCCGCCGCGGTAGTCTAGTGGATAAGATACTCGGCTGCTGACCCGCACGTTGCGGGTTCGAATCCCGGCTGTGGCCGCTGCGTTTCCGATGGAGGCGGAAATTGCTGTAGGCCCGTGTGCTCAGATTTGGGGGCACGTTAACAAACCTAATAGAAAATTTCCGGAGCCCTCCACTACAGCGTCTCTCATATTCATATGGTGGTTTTGGGATGTTAAACCCCACATATTAATCAAATAAATGTGAAAACAAATACAGGCGCCGGTGTTTGTGCCTGGTCATGAATTACCCGTAAGTTTGCCTGGGTCAGGTTGCGTACCGGACGATTTTTTTGTGTCCCAATTTGTGCAAGCACAGCAACAACTTATTTAGGAAGTATTCCAGAAAAATAGCGTTCTCGAACAAAAAAAAAAAGTTGGAAATTGGCGTTAACGGTTGTCAGATGTGTTTTTTAACTTGAGAAAAGGGGAGCTGAGTAAAATGAACTGATGGGCTAGTTAGCGTGCATTCATCATAAATGTGTATAGCAAAAAACGCAGTGTATAAAACACGTTCTGTAGTTTTTTTTTGTTTTTTTGCTGCTAGAAGGTTACCCAGAGAAATGCTGCCCTTTGCTGCAAGGAAAACTTTGACTAGTCACAAGCGTGGCAGTAGGTGGGATATGTTGACTATTTACCAGCGTTTGTTATTACAGTGGGCTGCCTGTTTCCGTACTGTTCTGGCAATAAACCAAGCGTGCGGTCGATGATTAAAGAGTCAAGAGTTTGACGGAATCCCGTCTGGTCGGGGACAAACATAGTGCAAAATAACAAAAACGCCGACCAAGGTGAAATACACAAAACTTAAAAAGACGTTTCGGCTTCCCACACGGAAGCCTTGTTCACTGACTGTGAACAAGGCTCCCGTGTGGGGATGATTAAAGAGGTTAGCTCATAACTGACCAACCCAAATTAACTGATGATAATTAGAGAATCATGACTAGCGAATCATTACGGCGGAACTTGAACACTAACTATCATTATGTGCCAGAGAACACAACTTTCGATGAGAGTGCTTCAGTCTCACTAGCTCGTAAGGCCGCAAGTTCGCCAAGTACAGTATGACGTCATGCTCGAAAAGCTGCGCACATATGCGTGTGTACTTAACGAACGCTTTTCCGCGACAACTATCGCCATCGACTGCATGCATACAGATCGTGCACGATGCGTTCGTCCTCGTGAAGACAGAGCTAACTTTATCACACGCGCAAACACAACGGTCGTATCGGTTTTACCCGAGACCGGCTATTAACACAGCGCTAGGTCGATGTAACCGGATGGTGAAAGTACGGTGGAGGCGGAAATGTTGTAGGCCCGTGTACTCAGATTTGGGTGCACGTTAAAGAACCCCAGGTGGTCAAAATTTCCGAAGCCCTCTACTACGGCGTCCCTCATAATCAAATGGTGGTTTTGGGACGTTAAATCCGACAAATCAATCAATCAATCAATCAATCAATCAATCGATGGTGGAAAGTACGTATACGCAGAGATGCTGCTAGGTAAGGCAGATTAGTCCTGCCCGAAGTGATAATAATCTGTATTGCTCGGGCAAGAAGATGAGGTCACTTACGAGAAGGCCCGCAACTTACTGATAAGATCCCGAACCATTTCGTAGTTGAACATCCACGCGTGACATGCCGGCTGGTACCAGGTTTCCCGCGAAAGTTCGCACGTCACTGCGCCGCTGTTCTGGCCTTTACGCGAAAGCGCCCAATTCAATTTTTAAAAAAGCCAAAAGCGACGCCATTCCAAGAAACGTCAAAAGCGAACGGTATAATGTGTGCGGCCTTCAGTTTATTCCTCGTCACTATTCCCTCGCGTTTCGCCCGACTTTTACTGAACCGTGCCGTTCTCGTCTGGGTGCTCAGAACGTTCAAGAAGGCTGGGCCATACCAGCCTTCTTTATTGCGCCACTGGCAGCGGTCTCGCGTCGCAGCGGCAGCCTTCATCGCGTCACAGGGAAGGTCGTTAACGCACGATCGATAGTTAAATTTCGCGTGAAACGCGCCGACATACGACCTTTCTTCCAGATTTATCGCGTGCATTGTGCGGGGAACCGAAGAATGCGAAATATAAAATGACCCTCCGCCACTAATGAAATTGCCTGCTTCATAAAGCTTTAACTCGAGTGAGCAGGCAGGCGCGAGCTCGTCACAGGCCCTAACTGAAGGCTCATATAGCTAACTATAAGGGTAGTTTGGTATGTCGGCGTTTCTATAGCGCTGAAAAAAGAAAGCGTAATAAACCAAAGAGAGAAACTATAGGGCCGTTTCACATGGTCTAGCGTTGAAGCAACGTCGGTTCCAGGACGCTGCCAATCAAAAATTTCTCATTTTGATTGAAAACACCTCATGTTACAGTACACCATAACGCAACGCCTCATTTTGCTGCGCCTTCGTTTGTTTCTTCTCCATTTCAAGTTGTGGGAAATCAAAGCTTCAGGCTAGTTAGCACTAAACTAGTACACACGAGAATGCTTGGAACTGTCGCTTTTCTGTTTCGTCCTTCGTTACAGCATTGACTGTAGGTGACTTCGAGTTACACAGTGCACTGCACAAGTGATTGACGAGCACATGACGGAACCGACGACTTGTCTGGAAATTTTATCTAATTCATCAGGATTAATGTCCATAAAAAGAACTTTAACACTGTGAGATCAGCCCGTAGTATACCGTTCGTCAAAGCGCTCCAAAACAAAAGAAGGCATACTCATTAATTATTATTATTAGTCCAATTAGACCGCATATGCAGTCGCTACTGCCGGAAATCGAACTCGAGACCTCGTTTTTTTTGGGGGGGTGGGGGGGGGGGGCAGCCCCAGACTGCTACGGCCACAATTTGCAAGGCCTCCAGCTATGTAGAAACTCTATGTTGCTTAAAGCACAATACGCGCAGTGAAAATGTTGTCTGCGCTATGTCGTTCAATTTTCACCGCCGGGTAACCAAGAAGTAATGCCAACTGCCATAAGCAGCAAAATTATCAGCCGAGAGCCAGGCAATCAAAGAGACGTGGTCCAGCACGTGCTTAGCATCCTGGAACGCCAGCGGCCGAAAGCGGCGCCCCCACGGGTTTGACGCGAGTAGGTTGCTGCTCCGGGACGTCCGAGCACGCTACTGTCTCGCTTTAATCCCCCTACCCCTTCCCCCTTTATGCCGGACCGTCAATAAAGTTGTTTCACTTAAAGTTGTTTCACTCACTCACTCAGCGGGGCACAGCGATATCGAGTCGAGAAGTTCAGTAAACACCCAAGTGTTTCTACCAGTATACAGCTGATTCCCAAACAAAGTTCCGTCGATGTGCGCCGGCACGAAAGACTTACCAGGAGACTTTGCGTACGATGCGTGGAAGCAGGAGAAGTTGATGAGCGCATAGGCAGCCATGAAGAAGTTGGAGATGATGGGAGCGATGGCGTTCAGCTCGCCTGCGTCGTGCGTGGCGAAACGGAAAACGCTGTAAATGACAGCCCGAAAAAGAAAAAAAAATCGGAAAGCACACAAGCAAGCACCACGTGCACACCAGCGTGTTGTCCTGGACACCACATTGAATGCCACACCGTTGTCATATTCGCCTTTTTTTTTCTTGGTGGGGGGGGGGGGGGGGGGAGGTTACTGCATGGTTCACATGAAAGCCACATCTGAAATAACTCACTGACTCGAAACGATATATATATATATATATATATATATATATATATATATATATATATATATATATATATATATATATATATATATATATATATCGAAATTCGATAATCCAGCGCAACATGAAAAAAAAAATGCTCGTCAACATCCCGCTGTTGGATTCCTCGGAGGAAACCGTTCCCCCGAAATTACACGAAAGAGCACAATAGCGCTTTTGCGCACTTGACTATAGACTAATAAGCCCCCGAGACAACCTAGGTCAAACAAAGGGTGAGAAATTCAGCTCAGTCACACACCGTGCAGCCCAAAAACAGAACGGGCCCGGTTCTCCGGAAACGGTTTTGGTTCGTCGACAGTCGGGGCCTCGCTGGCTGGATTCCGTGTCGAACGGTTGTGCCCCCGCGATCTCCGACGCCGGCGCAGCTCTGGCCGATCGGCTCGCCCTCCGCCATATCCTGACGCCGTGAAGCTCTCGCTGAGTGGTACCCCGTCCTCGGACTCCTTCGACCGTGTCCCCATCTTTGTCTGTCTTATCTTTACTTCTCATTCTATCCTTTTTAATCCCTCCTTATCCCCTTCCCTCGTGAGCCACTGTTGAGGTGTCGCACTCTGATGCTGAAAGTTACGGGACTCACTCTTATCTTCTTTTCTTTCATTTAAGAATCACTTCCCCTCCCGAAACGGTTTTGGTTTCAAAGGCGGGCACGTGGGAATGACGAAACGAGAGCCAACGTTTCCATGCCATCGCGAGTCTCTGCGTCAGTTATAATAACACGCAACCCATGAGATACCGTTCTCGTCTTTGCCTATGCTATCTACCGGAAGTAACATCCTTGCTTCATATGCCGCTCAGTAGTCACGCTACCACGTTTCCCAAATAATGCTGTGTAATCGAGTAGCAGGGCGAATGAAGGTTGGCGGTCGCATTTACCGATGGCGACGCATCCGAGCGCGATGGCGCAGGCCAGCAGGTATCCACGTCGGGGCTCGTTGCTCTTGCCGTAGCCCTTGCCGAACACCTCGATGTGCGGGAAGATGCGGTCCTTGCACAAGGCCTGCGTCACAACGGTGCATCGCGTTCGTTGGCACAGAGAAATGAGAGAGACGCGCGCCGTCTTGTAAATTAAAACACAAGGCTAGACCGACCTGATCCACACACACGGTAGGTTGCGACAGCGACGTCGATAGCTTTCTTCTTGCTCACTTACTTCTTCACTGGTCCAATACGCACGGTGACATCATTGTTGGAATCACAACACTCGCGCAGCCAAGTGTACCCGGTAAAATAAACAAGATACGGCGTCGAGAAGACGTTCGTACAGCTTCTCCTGTGCAAGTCACACGCAACAAACCGCGGATAGGTCCTGCCTCAATTACAGCGCTTATATGGCCATTCGGGTGATCAAACAGGTTTCATGCTAACTGTTTAATGTTTATTATCATTTTAAATAACGAATCATGCTGTTATGATCTGTACGTTTCTAAGCGTCCGAGTGCGGCGTTGGCAAAAAATCTCGTAAATAAGACTTTCTACCGCTGGCTTCGTCGCAGTACAGTTTGATTATCAGGCAAAGCCTACATGTGCTGCGGCAAAGCATATTTTCAGAAGTTGAAAGGGGCTGCAGCAACACCACCTGGACTCTTGGTGTTCCTGGCCTGTTTTTCGGTAAGGCCTGTTTGTTTATCCTGAAGATTCGTGAGCGCACCACATATGACCTTCCCTCTCCCACTCAATGGCTGCTCCCAGAGAATGAAGCGCGAGTGTTTAATGAAGCACGATGTGGGGTGGCAGTGCGTCTTAAGGGAGTACTCACACGATTTTCAGATATCGCCAAAGAAATTTTTTACGTTTTCTTCGCGTACAGTGGTAACACTATTCATATACTGGAGTCAGCCAACATGTGTAAAATATATTTACACTGATGTCAAGTTTTCGTCGCAGAGCATTGCGACGGACACGATCCCGACAAGTCAACACAGTTCCACTGATTTCGTACACACTGCGTCCTGAATGCGCCCTAAATCGCACTGCCTGGGTCGCTGGACTGCGATCGTTATTAACGTGCACCACAGATCTGTCACTAGTACGTCACGAGTTACGATCTCCCCGTGACGTCACAACTGCCATGCCACACCACTGGCAAGACCACCCCTGGATATCGAAACCGAAAATGTCTTTTTTAAGGTATATGTAATAAATGCATATGGAGGGTGTTTTTTCTTAAGCAATACAGAACTTTCCTTGAAAAACTAGAATAATTAGGCACTTGCCCTCTTCGCAGACAATTTCTAGGCCTAAGGTGGATAGATTTTTCCACTAATTACATCACTGAGAAATGATTTATTAACAAAAATATTTCAATCAACCTTTTCATTATCAATTTTGGGGTGTTTGTTTCCATAGAAAAGTTGTTTTACGTCCCAATTTATGGCCAGCCTAACTTTTTAAAAATTTAATATATCGCGCGTATTTTGAGAGATACATCGTCGAATTTTCAGACCGCTATGCGGGAGAAACCAAAAACAACGCACTTGGTGCGCCGCGAGTGTGGTGTCTGTGTTGCGTCAATCTGGAACGCAATGCGGGTGTGCTTTCCTTTTTTTAGGGCTGAAGCCCATTAGGCCGTGGGTCGTTCTCTCCTTTGTAGTAGTAGTAGAAGTAGTAGTAGTAGTAGTAGTATGTAGTAGTAGTAGTAGTAGTAGTTGTAGTAGTATGTAGCCACCTCTAGTTTCGGTTGCTCAACAGATGGCGTTGCGTGTATATGTACTTGGGAATAATAAACCTAGATGGCGTTTTTCAGAGCATAACCACGGAGTGAATGATGATGAGTGAAGCGAAGCGTTCGTCCGTCCGTCCGTCCGTCCATGTGTGCATCCATCCATCCATCCGCCTGGACGGACGGAAGCATGGACAGACAGACGGACGGATGAACGGAACCACGGACGTGTGGACACACGAACGGACGAATGGACACTTCACCCCCTGATCATCATTCACTCCATGGATATGCTGTGATTTTTTTTTCATTTACACCGTGAATCGCAGCGAGTTGCAAGACTTGAGAAATCGTTTCTCGCATGGCGCGCCATCATTCGAATTGCGTAAAGGAGCGGTCAAGCGTGGCGCAACACCCTTCCGGCGCAACCGGTGTGCTTAGTTTCGGTTTCCCCCGCATCGTGGTCCGGAAATTCGGTGATAGACCTCTTCTAAAAATCCCTATTTTAAACCTATGTTTAAAATGTAGGCTAACCATAATTTGTGACGTAAAACAACTTCCCTATACATAAACAACCACCCTAAAAATTATAATAAAAAGTTAATTGAAATATTTTTGTTAATCGTTTTTCAGTGATGTAATCAGTGGCAAATTTTTCCCGCCCGGCAATTCTCCGCAAATGCGGAAAGTGCCAAACTATTATACTTTTTTAAGGAAAGTTCTGTATTGCTCAAAAGAAACACCCTGCGTATTATGCATTCCCAGGCATCACAATACCCTATTTACTGTTCTCGCGCTTTTATTAGGAGCAACAATCCGAAAATACTTTTACATTAGTATCGGTACCACTTTAAGAATAAACAGGTCCTAACGCCCGCACGCCCGCACATGCCACCTCCAGCCATAGTATACGCGAACATACAGTCTATAAAGGCAGTCCTTAAATTTTGTTTCTGACGTGGCTGTGACAGTTTCGACCACTGTTTCGCGTCCCTAAAGCACACGCTGCCCATGACTTGAGGCACTTGCCACGTAGTTAAAACTATTCCGTATCGCATAGAACTTATCGTAATGAGATAATGACCAACTTGCGCGCATGCGCCGTGCTCACCTGGAAGACCTTGGGGGCGCTGACCAAGCTAGCCAGAGCAGAGGACAGGGTGGCGGCGAATATGCCGGCGTACACAAGGGGACCGAACGCGGATATCAACTCCATCACCTGCAGCAGCAAGCCACACCGTCACACGCATTGGGACATTGACTTGTGCAAAAACATGCAGAATGTCTAGCAATCGCAAAACAGATGCGAAAAATCGTCTACTGAAAACGACATTTCCTTTAGAGCGCAGAGGCATTCATATTGCGTTGTATCTCTCATGTATGCATTTATAGGAGGTCTCACTCACAGTCTCGCGATTTTGAGACCTCCTTCTGTATTTGTACATAACACATGCACTTGTATCACTTGTATTTCAGTTTTGAATAAATAAATTCTGAATACATAAACAACTGTATCTCTTTTGAAAAGTTAAGATACACTTCCTGTGAGTCGCACCACAACTCGACGGCAATATAAAGTGATTCGACACGTATGTGACAGTTCCTCAAACATGAATCAGAAACAGATAAGAGAAATACTGCATGACGTGCGCAAATCTTACTATGTTTATAAACGATAACAAGCGATATAAGTGTTACCCACACCGCTTATGTACACCTCAGAAACATATGTACACTCTTAACGACATTCGGATTTATTTTGAAGAAAAACCCTTTCTGGGGTATGTAGCGTTGCGCATACAATCGGACGAACACAGGAAGTAAAGAAGCGTAAACAGAAAGAGCGTTTCTTTACACTTCTTTACTTCCTGTGTTCGTCCCATTGTATGCGCAAGGTTCCATACCACAGACATGTGCCAACTCGCCCAGCAAGAAGTTCTTAAAAACTTCTTCAAGCTCACACAAAGGCAAAGCGCGTATCTTCGCAAACCCGAAAAAGCAATCACTCAATCAATCAATCATTCAATCACTCAATCATTCAATGAAGTGCTTCTTATTAACTTTGTCAATTCGTACGAGCTGCAGTTATTAAGAACTTGCGCAAACAAGCAGTCGGACTAGCTTATGAACTCTTTGAATAAATGAATGAATGAATGAATGAATGAATGAATGAATGAATGAATGAATGAATGAATGAATGAATGACACAGCAAGTACCTGGCTGTCGTTGAGGAGACCGTACTCGCATCCTCCGGTCAGGGTGCAGTTGCGCACGTCCTCGAACGTGGTTCCGTTCTCCATCGGGAGCCCGTTGGCTTCGCGCACCGTCACACATCCGGCCACGATGGCGAAGAACACGTACGAGATGGTCGTGACGATGATGGCCAAGTACGTGCCCTTGGGAATCGCTGTCTGGGGATCCTGCGATCGCACAAATACATTAAACGAGAAAGGTGCTACGCAGAAACGAACATCGCACGCACTGTGCTATAGATTGATTGATATGTGGGGTTAAATATCCCGAAAGCACCATATGATTATGAGAGACGCCGTAGTGGATGGCCTTTGAAATTTCGACCACTTGGTGTTCTTGAACGTGCATCCAAATCTGAGCACACGGGCCTGCAGCATTTCCGCCTCCATCGGAAATGCAGCCGGGATTTCATCCCGCGAACTGCGGATCAGCAGCCGAGTACCTTAGCCACGGCAACGGGGCCATACTGTGCTATAGAGGCAGTGACGAAACGTAAGGCGAAGATACGAGAAGTACCGGTAATTACTTTTTGTTTAACGTTCTGAAACTACAATATGAGTGGCGCCGTATAGTAAAGGGCTCCGGAAAAAATTGACCCCCTGAAGTTCTTTAACATGCACTTAAACCTGTACACACGGGCCTCAGGGATTTTCACCTCCATCGAGAATGCGGCCGCTACGACCGAGATTCGATCCCGCGACCTTCTGGTCTGCAGTCGAACACTATATATAACCACTAAACCATAATGGCGGTATACAGGAAAGAGTGGCAACTTGCAAATATAGAAAAGTTCTCTTTTATACAAAACAGCCCGGTGTGCCGTTAAGTTTTGCGCCGAACAATCAGGTATAACCACACGTTTATGTAATCACGCTCTCAAAAATTGTATTGCCGCTCTATGTGGGGTGGTTGCCCCATTACTGACACAAACACATTGTTTCGTATTAATGAAATAGGCCTTCCTTTGTCACGCGCCACGATATCTTTCGTAAGATCGGGCCCACACATGCAGTAGTCACAATGCGTACTTGTATTAGCACTAATATTGTCTTTGATCAGGAGCTCCTGTTCTATGCCGTACATCTTTACTCTTCGCCTTGCGAGGCACTATTACCCTTTTGGACACGAATATGATAAACGTATAAGTTCTGACGGATAGATGCAAGAGTGAAACCGCGCGGACCGAGTGTGGCGTCCACGCGCACACGAGTCGGAAATCACGCTTCGATGACTATCAAGAGTCACAGACATTACGCGAGTGCCGTTCTAGCAAAGCAATCAGTCAGGTCGCGGGACCGAATCCCGGCTGCGGCGGCTGCAATTTCGGTGAAGGCGAAAATGCTGTAGGCCCGAGTGCTCAGGTTTGGGTGCACGTTAAAGAACTCCCAGGCGGTCGAAATTTTCGGAGCCCTCCACTACGGCGTCTCTCATAGTCATACGGTGGTTTTGGGACGTTAAACCACACGCATCAATCAATCACAAAGCAATCAGTGACCACAGAACCATAGCAGTCGAAAAACTTACGGCCAGGTCGCCGGAGATATTGGCCCCGGCCAGAATACCCGTGGCAGCCGGGAAGTAGACGGCAAACACGGTGAAGAAGTTCTCGCCTTCCTGGAAGTCCGGGCCGACGTTCTCCAGCGCTAGGGCGGCTGCGTGTAGAGACGCGTTCCATCAGTCACGGCTGTGTCATCATTACTCTAGTAAATAATAATAATAATAATAATAATAATAATAATAATAATAATAATAATAATAATAATAATAATAATAATAATAATAAAAATAATAATATTAATAATAATAATAATGTATTAACTGTTAAATGTACGTCAAGTGAATCTCTCTCTCTCGAATCCTTTCACTTAAACGGCCGGCAATCGGACGACTCTGAAACCGAAGCAAGCGTCCATGGAAGCTGCAGGCCTCCACGCTGCAAAACTGGGACACTGCGACGCGACCGCTGTGAGTGCAGAAAAAAATGCAATTAACTTATAGTGCTCTGTGCTTACTGGGGAACCGATGTGAGAAGTTGTCCCTAAAAAAAAAATTCTCGAGGGTATACCATACGCATTCGCCTAACACGACACAAAGGCAAAAGGCATCAACTTTTTGTTCCTGGTCGATGTAATGATACTCTCCCGCTCCTACCCCCTAGAAAGCTTCATGCACGCAACCTGGTTTCGCACTGCTCCCAAGAGCGGCCCACCTATGGCCAAGCGACTATCCCATGTGATGACGTCATCGTGTGGCGCACGCTGCGCGACGTCATGATGACGTCACACATTTTGGCAAATCGTGATGTCACGATTATGCATGGAGACGTCATCGATTAACGGGGATTTTTTTTGCCACCACTTGTGTTGAAGCCGACCGGCGGTCAATTTTCCCGTTTTATGAAGCATCTCAGCTTCTGCCTTACAAGATCATAACTTGATGCCATCATGGTTATGCCGAATGCACTTGCTGCAAGATCGGTTCGCACGAAAAACCCTATCGAAGCTCTCGCAAGGACACACACGCACATCATGCGCTGGTGTCAGCAGAAAGCCTGCGGAGTCTATGTCATTTCATCGCAGTGACACATACAGCGGACTTGATGGCGCAAGTAGCCCTTCTGTCGAAGCACACAGGGTTTTAAACTGCGCGCGTACTCACTGCTCCAGCCGTAGTAACCCCTGGACTGCTCGGCCGAGCTCGGGGGAATCATGGCTCCGACAACGAAGTCCACCATGGCTACCAGGAGGATGACCAGAAGCACCATCTGAGCCTGCGTTCAGCATACGGCCCAAACGACACGGTTAGGAAAAAGGGTCGCCCTGCAAGACTCCACTCGCCCGGCAATACGCGAAATTCTATCGGCGATGCGGGGAAGGTTAGGTGAATCACGCTAAACAACGTTGGAACAATACTCCAAGTTTCATGGCACCTTAAAAAAGAATGGTTGAAGACTCACAGGCTCCCTTACGCATGCACCTAAGACTAGTCAAAGGTAAAAGCATCTTTTTTTTCTTCTCAGTCGATGTACAACTACCGCCCCCTCCCGAACGCTTTCTGCATCTATCGTGGTTTCGCACTGCCTCCAGGATCATCGAACCAACTTTGACCAAGCTACGATATCACGCGATGGCGTCATCATATCACGTCACAGCGACGTCATCTTGGTTAAGCCACAAATTGGGGTCCTTGTGACGTCATGACGTCGTCATCTTGTGACGTCATCACTTGACGATGTTTCTTCGCACCACTCGCGTTGACACCGCCGAAGCCGACGGTCAATTTTCGCAAAGTTCGATATGGTTTTTCACTTCAATGAGCCGGGTGCTTACCTTGGACTCCCACTCGGTGCCTATGATGGCGATGCCCAGCAGACAGATGACCGTCACGCCGCTCACGATCCGAATATCGTTGAGGCCACCGTCCACGATGTACGTGCCTTGTTGCTGTACGCGGTGAGCAAAGGAGAGTGGGGCCGAGTCATAGCGCGAAACACAAGTGCACTAGTAACGTAACCAGCATTGAACTCGTTTAACATGGTTGCACTGCCACAAATTCTTAAAAGCTTGCCATCGATTCACACAGAGTGCATGTCTACAGCAATGAAGCTGTATATACCGGGCTTCCCAATCATCACGCAGCACAATTAAAAAAAGAACGGCGTTACGCCTAGCAAACCTAGTGTATATTGTTCCAGTACGCTGAAGTAGCCATTACTAAGTTTTCGTTAATGACTACTACCTAATTAATCCAATTATATTTATAACTCAAGAAGTACTTGCCTAATTATGAAAATGCTAACTAGACAGATGCGCACATGTTGAAATGACATCTGTCTGTGGTACTTCCAACAACGCGATAATTGCATGCTCATTTTTTGTCGGCGTGAATAAAGAAAGCCCACGAAATATGCAAAATAACACGTGACAGCGCTCACATCCGCGAAATAAAGCAGCGCCCTCAAATCATTTTACTAGAAGGAACCGCTTTGCCTTTTCTCCGTTGCCAGAGACAGCGTTTTGCACTTCGGCAAGGGTATACAGATCGGGTGCCAACAACATGTGTCGCAGTTTTCCAGGGATTCTTTCCGCTTGACTGTACGTCGCTATCACGATACATATCCCACGGTCAACAGGTCACGGCCGGATCACTGTTCCGATTAGAGCGATGACAGCTTGACTGTGTTAGCATAGAGTAATATATATAAAAAGTTGTGTAAGATTGAGGCAGCGCGTCTCATCTGACAGGAAGTGGCAGATAGCGCGATCCGTATTTCTTTTCTTTTTATACATTTCCTTCATTGCTACTGGTTATCTCAAAGCGCGCTTGCTTGAGGGCACTTCTCAATGCTCGCAATGGTCTAGTCACGTGTTATTTTTCGTAATTCGCGGGCTTTCTTTATTAACAGAAAAAAATGAGCGCGCATTTAGTACGTTGTTCAAAGTATAGCACAGACAGATGTTTCAACATGCGCACATCTGCTTCATTGACACTTTGATAATTAGGTGAGTACTTTTTGAGTGATAAATATGATTATGACTAATTAATTTTCATTAACGAAAAAAATAGTAGCGGTTGATACAGTACACTGGGAGTTATATGCACTAGCTTTTCTTCGCGTAACGCCATTCCTTTTTTTTAATCGCACTACGTCATAACTTGGACGCCCTGTATATACTCGTACATTACCACTCAGGCTCAGCGCACATGAATATTAACCCGCACTTATTGAACAACCTAAAACAAAAGCTCTTCTTATAACGCAAACGGCGGGAGGACGCACGCCTCTTCCATAAATTTGGCTGCAGATATTACGAACAGCTATCCCGTTATATGGCGGACCTAGTCAAATCTGCAAAAACTGAGCATGTTGGACGCGTAAAAGTCATCGAAAGTATAGGCACGAGAAAATCACCAACAACAATGCGAAAAGAAGGCGAGATCGCCTCCACCCTAATCACTATAACGAAGTGATATAAAGCACGCACGTCGTATCCATCTTTTCGCTCACCTTGCACAGGTCCCGGACGGTCTCCGAGAAACCGACCACGTAGAGGGCTATGGCCACCGCGTTGGCCAGCGAGAATATGAGCCCGATGGAGCCGCCAAACTCGGGCCCTAAACTTCGAGATATCATGTAGTACGTGCCTCCTGCGGGAGAGAGCAAATTGCGTGATGCGAACACTCTATCGTGAAAGCAGGTGAAGCGTGCTGTGGATATGTAGCCTCGTAGACAAGCTCGGCGGAGGAGAGCACATCCTACAACCCCATAAGTGATGCTTCTGGTGGCAGTCTATGAATTCATTTTTAATCAATCAATCAAACGTTTTATTGATCAGTGTCAAAAGAAAATGAACACAAATCTGTCTGTACAACAACCTTTCCGGTTATATCTGGCCCAATGCAAAAGTGCATTGCGGATAAGCCCTTTTTCTATTTTTTTTATTTATTGTATCCTCAGGGCTTCACAGCATTGCAGAGGGGAGCGGGCACTGACGAACAATGTTAAAGAAAAGAATACATAGACAAGACACTAGAACATTATTAAACACTGAAAAGCAACTATTATCAACTGCAACTATGTTATACAGCCAGTAGATTATACAAGAAAACTAACAACAAAATCAAACTAACAACAAAATCAAAAATCCAACACCAAGTATGCTATCGAGCGATGTTTTAAAGCTGCAAGGCGAGGTGATGGATGCAACTGATTGTGGGAGGTGGTTCCAATCCTTGCAAGTTTTAGGCAGGAATGAGTGGGAATATGTTGATGTCTTGAAGCGAGGAACAGCAACTTTCTGCGTATGGTCAGTACGAGTTGAAATGTATGACGGTGGGGTTATTAAAAGTTAACGAAGAAGGGAGTTGTAAATTTTGTGGAAGAGTACGAGACGGGATATTTTACGGCGTGTAGCGAATAAAGGAATGTTAATAATTGATTTCATGTTTGTTACGCTAGTGGTACGGCGATAATCTGATAATATAAATCTAACAGCGCGATTCTGAATGCTCTCAAGTTCGTTAACTAGGCCTTTTAGGCGTTAACTAGGCCCTAGGCCTTTTAGGCGATATACAGTTCAATAAGAGCAACTAAAGCAACTAATGACGCATTTGTAAGTAAATTATCAGGGCATAAATAAATAATTAGGATACCTGATTGCGGAGATAAAAGGGCATGCGTCCACTATACACGGCGACGCTCTTACCTCCTCGAACTTCGCCGTTTGTGCAGATGGCAGACATGGAGAGCGTTGTGAGCATGGTAACCACGGAGGCAAGGATGACGATGCCGGAGCCCAGGCCTGCACGAACGATTGGAGAGCGAAGACAAGTCACCGGGATAAGAAGCTGTGACTGAGAGCACGCAATCCGTGATCATTTAGGGCTACATTTTGAGTACAGAAGTTACACTAAAGTTCTACCTGAATGTTTCTTCCCTTTGTGTGATACATACACGTGTACAAGCACGCAGCCTTGCGCACTCGTATAGGTAAGGAATAACGCCATTCGTTCGATGCTCTAATCACTGAGCTATCACAGCGGCCGAATAACGCCATTCGGATCGTAAAACAGTGCGGCGGTGACACTGCCCTTTTTTTTGTGTGCAACTTAGAACATATGATAACACTGGAAGTAAGGTTAGCGGGAGGCTTTGCTGGAGTATGTCGGTATCTTATATCGGTAGGATTGGTCGTTCCGAGTATATAGCCGGAAATTTATTCTATGGTAGTGCAGCGTAGCAGAGACGTACCGATGCCAGCCTGTCCCACCACCCAAGACAGCCGCAAAAACAGGATTACGCCCCAGATGTTGAGCAGACATCGCACCTGCGTCAGCGAAGAGAACGACATACATGAGAAGGTGTTTATAAGGAAGGGGGAGATCAATATTACACCTATATATTAGGCTAACATTCCTCTTTTTTTTTTAAAGTATACTCTTTGCTTTTTTTCACCCTGTATAATACGCACTAATCATGTCTTTCATTAAAATTCGGTGAGCCCCCCCCCCTTTTTTTATTCTTCTTCTTACGTTTCAGCAAGCACACTGAGAGCCATTGAGCAGCTCTTAAATTTCAGCAGAGGCAGCGAACGCGAATTCATATCGCGTCACTTGCGTCTGATGCCTGTACTAATGAGGGTCACGTCCGTATACGCAAAAATGGCCGTATCGGCTGTTATTCCGTACCGGGAAGACAGTTTCTGTTTGTTTTGTTGATAATTCAAAATCGAACAGACACGTCTTATCTTCTGCCAACAGGCAGGAGACGCAACAGTATACGACGTGGACTAGTACTTTAGACAATGTTAAGCTTATATTTGTTTTATAAATGATAAGCGACAAAGCATTTTGTGGCGCAACTGCGGCATGTTCCAAAAGGGCCAGACATGCAGTTTTAAAATCTGTGTGCCATCCGCAGTTGGCGGCACAAGCCACACACACACAAAAGAAAAGAAAAAGCGTCGAAACTGTTTGTCTACGCAACGGGGCTTTGGTTCCAAAACTACAAACAGTATAGTGTTCTTTTAAACTGCCTAGCGACACTGGCTGCAGTCCAGCTCTGGGTGAAACGAGGCGTAAACACTCCCTTGGAACAACAGTGTTTGGAGAGGAAGAAGAGCAGCAAAGGTGCGTCCGCCACTCACAAACACTCCCTGGATCCATCCCAGCTTGACGGCGCCTTTGCCCTTGATGGCCACCTCGTCGGCAGCGTTGTGAGCATGGTAACCACGGAGGCAAGGATGACGATGCCGGAGCCCAGGCCTGCACGAACGATTGGAGAGCGAAGACAAGTCACCGGGATAAGAAGCTGTGACTGAGAGCACGCAATCCGTGATCATTTAGGGCTACATTTTGAGTACAGAAGTTACACTAAAGTTCTACCTGAATGTTTCTTCCCTTTTGTGTGATACATACACGTGTACAAGCACGCAGCCTTGCGCACTCGTATAGGTAAGGAATAACGCCATTCGTTCGATGCTCTAATCACTGAGCTATCACAGCGGCCGAATAACGCCATTCGGATCGTAAAACAGTGCGGCGGTGACACTGCCCTTTTTTTTGTGTGCAACTTAGAACATATGATAACACTGGAAGTAAGGTTAGCGGGAGGCTTTGCTGGAGTATGTCGGTATCTTATATCGGTAGGATTGGTCGTTCCGAGTATATAGCCGGAAATTTATTCTATGGTAGTGCAGCGTAGCAGAGACGTACCGATGCCAGCCTGTCCCACCACCCAAGACAGCCGCAAAAACAGGATTACGCCCCAGATGTTGAGCAGACATCGCACCTGCGTCAGCGAAGAGAACGACATACATGAGAAGGTGTTTATAAGGAAGGGGGAGATCAATATTACACCTATATATTAGGCTAACATTCCTCTTTTTTTTTTAAAGTATACTCTTTGCTTTTTTTCACCCTGTATAATACGCACTAAATCATGTCTTTCATTAAAATTCGGTGAGCCCCCCCCCCCTTTTTTTTATTCTTCTTCTTACGTTTCAGCAAGCAGCACTGAGAGCCATTGATCAGCTTCTTAAATTTCAGCAGAGGCAGCGAAAGGCGGAATTCATAATGCGTCACTTGCGTCTGATGCCTGTACTATGAGGTCACGTCCGTATACGCAAAATGGCCGTATCGGCTGTTATTCGTACCGGGAAGACAGTTTCTTTTGTTTTGTTGAATTCAAAATCGAACAGACTACTTCTTATCTTCTGCCAACAGGGCAGGAGACGCAAACAGTATACGACGTGGACTATACTTTAGACAATGTTAAGCTTATTTTGTTTTATAATGATAACGACAAAGCATTTTGTGGCGCAACTGCGGGCATGTCCAAAAGGGCCAGACATGCAGTTTTTAATCTTTGTGCCATCCGCAGTTGCGGCACAAGCACACACACACACAAAAGAAAAGAAAAGCGTCGAACCTGTTTGTCTACTCAACGGGGCTTTGTCCAAAACTACAAACAGTATAGTGTTCTTTTAAACTGCCTAGCGACACTGGCTGCAGTCCAGCTCTGGGTGAAACGAGGCGTAAACACTCCCTTGGAACAACAGTGTTTGGAGAGGAAGAAGAGCAGCAAAGGTGCGTCCGCCACTCACAAACACTCCCTGGATCCATCCCAGCTTGACGGCGCCTTTGCCCTTGATGGCCACCTCGTCGGCAGCGTTGCGTGCAGACTTCTCTAGCGATTGCTGCGCACAAAACGAGAGTAGAAAATTAGTTTAAAGCCCGAAGATAACAAGACACTGTCGTCGAAGAACAACGAGGAATAAGAACATGCGACTTGTCTCGTCGTTCACTTGATGAGTGATATTCGAATACAGACCCAACAATACTACGTATTCGCAAATCGTAACTTTTATTTTTGCGAGCTTGTCAGTTATTAAGCAGTGATTTGAGGTACTTTTTTGTCAGATTCAAAAATGATACTGTTTAAGGGACCAATGACGAATCTCGCACCTCAAAAAAATTTTGCTCCTAAGGAAGCGCAGTAATGTAAGGTTTGTGGGCGCGTTTCTGGACTCGATTCCCGATTTGAACAAGAGGATTGTCCTCCATCTATAGAGTGAGAATTATACTAGGGAAATGCGCATATAAATGTTCGTGGCTACTCCGTCTGAGAAACAGCAGTTCACGTGCTACATTTAGTTGCTTTGTGATCACCCTTAGCAACCTCACCCATAATAACCTCGTCTATATATTCTGATGTCCATGAGTACTTTAGTATGTATGTATGTATGTATGTATGTATGTATGTATGTGTGTATGTATGTATGTATGTATGTATGTATGTATGTATGTATGTATGTATGTATGTATGTATGTATGTATGTATGCATGCATGCGTGTATGCACGTACGTACGTACGTATGTATGTATGTATGTATGTATGTATGTATGTATGTATGTATGTATGTATGTATGTATGTATGTATGTATGTATGTATGTATGTATGTATGTATGTATGTATGTATCTATGTATGTATGTATGTATGTATGTATGTATGTATGTATGTATGTATGTATGTATGTATGTATGTATGCATGCATGTATGTATGCATGCATGCGTGTATGCACGTACGTACGTATGTACGTATGTATGTATGTATGTATGTATGTATGTATGTATGTATGTATGTATGTATGTATGTATGTATGTATGTATGTATGTATGTATGTATGTATGCACGCAGGTGTGCATAAGGTATTGTACTGATAGGATTCCTAATTCATTTCCATTGAAAGTGAGAGCATCATGGTATACATAGCGCAGAAGCCACAGCCCTTGAAGGTGACAAATTGTAAAGACGCAGACATGCATTCACATATGCACACACAACACGAACAATTTTTCTTCCAGTAAACTAAAACAGCGAACCAAAAGAGATCGTTACAGAGCGTATATAGGAGACGCAAGTCGGCTTTCGCATAACTTCTGTAGACAAGCCTCTTTGGTCGCAATTGAAAGGCAAACCTTGAGTTCTAGTGTACTCAGGCCGCTCACCTCCCCTTCAAACTAAAAACTTCCTTATGCAAACTTGTCCTGATGCATTCTTGTTGATATATTCATGGTTGCTGATACAATGCTTGATATTTATCGCGGCTTATGAAGCAACCAGCCTTCGCAAATAAGAGGTTGTTTCGCAACCGACGTCGCCAGTGTGTACTGCTTCCAGAACGAGCGAAGTTGACCCATTTAGACGAGGAGCACCTGTTGCTAAGGCCGCAGGGCACCGGCAATAAGTGCAGCAATGACGCCTAAGTGACATTCGGTTCAAAGGACAAGCACGCTTCACATTATTCGTCATAGCGTGGTAAAGAATATACAGAGACAAAAATGAAACCGCCATCGTTACCTATATGGACTTGAGTTCGACTAATCATCTGTAAAGAACTGTCACGCAGAGCGCACTTCGCAGCCGTAGCTGTTTGTTAGGAGAAACAATAAACGACAAATGGAGTTGCGCCGTTTCTTTTGTTCAGTTGCCGCTTTTCGTGTTTCCTTACAGCGTACGCTTCCAACATGCAGTACGACACTGACGCCAAGTAAACTCGTAAACAGACCCAACAATGCAGTTCCACTTAGCCTTGTCTTCATTATCGCTAGTTTTCTTTGCTTAGCGATTGAGCGATAGGGCGCTTCAAAGAGCATCTGCACACCTGCAACTCAGAGGTTCTAAACGGTTTTCATGGCACGAACAACATTACATATGCCAATAGCATAAGAGCAAAACCCCAATGAAAAAGCTTCAGAGCACACGTCGTGATATGACCAAGCTAACAAAATACTAATAGGTCGTACGAAGGAAAGTGCGAGGTTGTATACAGAAACTAATGCATGCTTGTCGAACATAAACGGAGTATACTCAGCAACAACAAGGTTGGTATATAAGACCATTTCAGTTTACTAGAACTGTTGCTCTCGCAATACTTAATCTGGCATCATAGAAGTTACGACGACGTCACCACAGACCAGATGTCGTGGGTGTTATGGTGACGTCACGAAACAATGAAATTTGATTCACCTTACGTAACCATATGATCTGTAGGTGTGTCATGGCGCTGATGATAACGAAAGAAAATTCAGAATGCATCGCGATTTGACCCTGGCTGTGTTCTTGAGTAGCAGTCACGCTGACGTCAGAAAGAATGAAAAATGGGCGTGGTGGCACCACGATCCCCCAGTAACAAGGCTAACCGAAATTTTAAAAAAAAAACGTTGAAACAAGTGTTGCACTAGTAAACGACATAGAGTAGTTTGCCACAACGCAGTATACCTTTGACAGCATCTAAAAAGTTTGAAGCTTTTCTAAACGCATCATAAGTTAAACGCTTGACAAATACAAAACGTCACGTTAGTATTCCTTCATGCAATCATCACAATGCACAAACTTTCGTGTATACACAATGCACGAATTTTCCCTTTTTAACGAGTGCCTGCATTGCGTGGTTTATTCTCGGTGTACTGATTCTGCGCTGTTTGAAGATCTATGTGCACGTACCGAAAAGCCCGTTTAACCACCATACTGAAGCGTTTTCAGCTGCATTGAGATCGGCAACAAATAACTGGTTACATTTACCTAAACAATGAGCCCACGTAAGAAAGATAAAACCCCTCGGTTCTTTCCCTGATCCGCAATGAGTGTAAAGTTTATGCCCAATCTACTTCTTATGTATGCATCTCCGGGGGCGTTTTATTTACACACAGTTCGGTGGGCATATAAAGATGTACAGAAGGGAGTGTTCTAGAGTACAAGCCAAAAACTCCCACCTAGGCGTTTTTTTTTTTTCGTTTAGAGTGTACATCTCGGAACAAAACCACACAAGAGTGTAACCAGGATATATATACTGCTTCGGTATAAAGGAGGGGGCAGGTTCAACACTTCTTTATGTTCATGGGCGTCTTTATGCGTGCCGCGCGTGAATATATATGCATGCAATCTTTAAAGATCGAAAGGACGGCGGTTCGGACCTCAAGACATTCATCTGGTCATGTCTACGATGAACATTTTGACATTCACGTATAAGGTCAAACCCTATACGAGTATGTCGTGACTATGCGGTCACGATTCTATATAACCGAGTAACAAGTGAAGACTCAACGAAGCCGAGTTCCTGCTGATAAGACATCGACGGGCAAGTCATCTGGCAGAAGGCGAGCTAGCGCGCGTGCGAACGGCAAATTGCTTTTCGGCGCCGCCTGTCAGATGCGCGGACACACGACGGCGACTCCTTTGTCTCTTCAGTGGGACCTGACTGGCTAAAAGGTGTAGGTGCTGCGTAACTCTTCAAAAGCAGCGAGAGAGAGAGGGTTGTTTCCTGCAGCGACCTAGTCCATCGTGTACCCTCTCACTCATTCCCTCTCTCTGTACGTTCGTCTGCGCAGCATCCGCAGAGACGTACGGAGTCCTCGTTAAAGACCAGCACGCAAGCGAGCAACCGAGTTGGCTGCCACCGGCGGGACGTCCGACAGGGGGAAACGGCAAAACAACAGCGAGACTAGAAAGTCCCAAGACTTGCTTACGAGCGGGTGCGCACTCGACAGCGCGCGGTTGGTGGCGTGGATGCTTGCTTGCAGCTGCCGTCGCTACGCGCGGACTTACCTACCCGACAAAAGCGAGCAGTGGCGTCTAACAGTTGCACAGTTAAAGGACAAAAGGCTCACGGCTACTCATTTGCATAATGCGATCGAATTTATTATGCTAGAAATAAAATTCCAGCGATGCCAACAGTTCAGTCTTTCTTTTCTTGTTTTTTTGTCCTTGTGTACGTTTCTCCATACGTTTGCCCTTGTACTTTTTCGCGCTCAACCTCATGAAAAAAAAAATATCACGTACCAACAAGCCCCCGTCACTACCTCATATGCAACTAGAGAAAGATAAGGATATTTATTGAAGTTCCGCTCAAGAAGCAGGAGTCTCGTGAGCAACGGTTTCGTGGAGAGATAGATTCTCGGAGGAGAGAGAAATAAAAAAAAAGAAGCCAGGAAGGACCTGATTACGCTAAGTGCACGCGCATCAGATTAGAGGTAGGAGGAGTGTATGAATGTTAGAAGTCATTGGTTATGTCCTTGAAACGAGTTTTGAAAACATAACCAGTGTGCTTACCTTCTTTTTGAAGCGGTGGTATTAAGGTGTGCGCTCTGGTAAGCAAAAGGTTGTTTTAAACGCTACAAATTTTTTTGTCTCTTTAGGTTGAGCGTATTCATGCGGATCACGTCTACTGGACCAATTAACATTGCCATTCAAATATCGCTCAGACAGCAAGTGATATCTGACAGCCAATACAATGCCAGAAGAGGAAAAAAGTTCAGTAAATTGGTCTTTCGGTCTACTGATAATCCCGACTGTTTTCACACTGCTGCACACAATTAACGATGCCGCTGCACACTAGCAACTGCACCGCCCACGTGCGTCTGCTCCCGAAATCCATTACAATAACCCGTGAAGCGTTTGTATTAGCGTGCACAATGCTGATCCGGGAAAGCGCGAACTACACGAGTGAGGTCAAGCAATCGTAATCTACATGAGCAACAATAACTTTTTTTTTCATACTGTTAGCGTCCTCTATCCCGCTTTTGGTAAAATTTAGGGTGTCGCCGGTATGGCCGTAAAAAGGTGAAAATTGATAGAAGACACAACACACGACTCACGCACTGTTAGGAAAATAGAAACAAAACAACGCTGTAT